AATGATGTTGAAAAGACTGGAGGAATTAGCAGAAATACAGGCATCTATATTTGCAATTTTTTTCCTGCAGTGTTCCAACTGCTGCTTTCTCCATTAGACATTGTGATCTTTAGGCATTATCACCTTATACTCCTCAATCACTGACCAGGAATCAAAGTATTTTCTTTACCTTGCATTTGGTTCCATTTTTAATCTCATTTACATTGTTTCCAGTTTCTTACTCCTTCATCTTCAGTCCTGAGTTCAGATCACATTATCCCAGACACCACCACTTCCCACCTGGACTAACTCATGGCTTTTCAGAGTCCTGTGCCTGCCTCTGCTCTCTCATTCCCTATGTAACTAGTTTCTTTGTATCATCCACACATGATGCAGGCCATGATACACATTCTTCACTTTTTCTTTTATTCAGCAACTGTTTTACTGTAAATTGTATATCTTTTATCATACATTTGTTTAGTTTGTGTCTACTTGTCCTTCAATTTTGTGTGGTTTAAACTTTTACTTCTTTTATACCTCAAGTTTTCAAGTGGTCTAACTTCATCTACTTGAATTATGAGTATTATTCAAAATAGTTGTCTAATGAATGCATTTAAAGAAATGTGCTGCCTTTATGGGCTGTTAATTAAAGTTACAGGTTTCCCTTTAAAGACTTTTACTAGGCAAAACTAAAAGAATTTGTAGAAAATTCTGCCAGAGGTTTTATTAAGGAACCCATTGTGAGGTCTCTTTCTGTCTCTTATTTCTGTGACTTGAAGTTGTAGAAGTATGAAATTGTTAGAGGTAATTATTTAGAATGACTGATTATAGGTCCCTGAAAGTTGAAATTTATCAGATAATACTCAAGATCTTTCTTATTTTGAATGTGTAAATATTTTATTAAAAATATTAGCACCATGATTGTGAAATCATGTATTTTTTCTGGTTAATGTCTTCCTGGAGATTATTGAGTGGTGACTGATTTCTTTAAGTGGAAGAAGAAGAATTAATATGACAAAAACTGCAAAGACATATAAACTTATCTTCCTCTTCTCCCTTCTCTCCTGTCTTAGTTAAGATATTTTTACATGCCAGTCATGTGCCAAAAGGGTAGACCCTGAGGAAAAAGGATAAGCTAAATCACATATAGTCCCTAATCCTGAGAAAGTGTAACATATAGTAGGATAGAGAGACATTATGCATGACACAATTAAGTTTCTAGCTATAAACAGATAAACTGTCATGGAAAAATTGGAATAATCTACTGTCACAACACAAAACTCAGAAGACTTGATTTGTTCTAACAGATATCCAGAAAACTTTCTTAAGAAAGAATCATTTAATTGAGAACTATAGGTTAATGAGGCAAAGAGTTGGGTGTGAGATGGGCTCTGGGCAAAGGAATAACATATGCAGTAGGTCAGGTCAGGTGGTGGGAGTAAGTATATGCTTCTTCAGGAAGGACCAGGAAGAGGCCAATGAAGGTAATGATGGAGCCAGAGTATTGGATATAACCAAAGATCAATCAGATAAATCTGACAGTCACTTACAGGAAAATGGTCTTTATCCTAAATGTACAGTGCCTTTTATAAGAAGGTGATGAGGAGATGGGGAGAGGTATAAAAGTAAGGAAAGGGAGAAGAGAGAGAGAGAAAAGGAAGCTTTTGTATGCCATGGTAGAAAAACTTACAAGCTTATAAGAGAAGATGTCTGGAAACACCCTGGAGCTCATGATAGAGTTAGTGGATGGTGGAGTTTGGAAAGTGGTAGGTGGTGCAGGTGGAAAGTCAAAGTAGATTGAAACAGCAGATGTCTCTCAAAATTTGCTGGGGTTGATGATCAATTAGATATGGGTGTAGGAGAGAGAAAGGATTTCAAGGACGAGCCTTCATTTTTGCAAGAAATGAATACATGATGCTGTAGTTCTCATCACTGTGGCGGGGAGACCAGATGTTGTGGAGTAGGATATGATACATTTGATGGTTTTGAGTAAATATTACTGGCTGGAGCTTAGAAGAATGTCCTTACTTGTAGATCTACATTGAAAGTTCCTAAGTGCAGAGGGTAATTTCATTACAGGCAGAGATAGAATTATCAAAAAGAAGACTATGCAGTGTGAGAGAAGGGGTATCAAACTGACCCTGTTGAATTCCACTTTTTTGTGTGTGTGTGTGATGCTGGTGGTTAAACTCAGGACCTTGTGCTTGCTAAGCAGGCATTCTACCCCCTGAGCCACTCTGCCAGCGCTGAACTCCACTTTTTAAAGGGCAGGTGATAGAGAGTATACATGGGCAGAGGGGTCAGAAAATACGGAAATCTATAACTAATACTTGTTGAATGTTTATTATGTCCCAGATCCTGTTCCAGTACTTTATTACCTCATTCAAACCTCATGCTGGTAGAAAGACCCTTATCCCTCCCTCCTTCTTCCCCAGGCTCTCAATTTCACCAAAACTGCCTCCTCTGGACATCATCACCTTTGTTAATCGTCTGGGTTAAATCATCTGTTTTTCATCCCTGGTTAATCTTAAGAGAAGTTTAGAATACCTGAGGAGAAAGAGAGTCATTCTTACATGGTCTGTGCATGTAGACCATATAATCTCAAGACAAAATTCCCAACTCTCCCTTCCTCCAACTCCCAAAATGCTTCCATAATGGCCTGTGAACAGATCCACTGTATCCCAGACTCTTCCCTTCATCTCCTGCTCTGGAACTAGGTTCTCTCCTGGTAATGCCACCTTCTCATGCAGCCTAGCAGGCCACACTGCCTCTTCCTGTCATTCTTATGTCTCTAGATCTATAAATGTTAGGAATGCTTACTAACTTTGTAGCATTGAGTCTTGGAACTTCTCTTTATTTGTACTCCTCAAATTATCCTATCCAGTTGTCTTCCTTTGAGACACTTTAGGTTTGTTTGTTAGATTTTATAGTTTTGCCAAATGGAAGGAAATTCTCCTATTAAAATTTCATTCCCCAGAGTAGAGATTTAAATATATTTCCTTATAAATTCTTTGTATAATGTAATTTCACATGGAGAAATTATCTTCTGCATACATGTACAATGCACAAATGGTCCCCAATTTATGATAATTAACTTAGGATTTTTCAATTTTTAACTTTATAACAGCATGACAGTGATACATATGTAAAAGCTGTACTTTGAATTTTGATGTTTAATCTTTCCTGGGCTAGTGATATGCAGTATAACACTCCATTGCAATGCTGGATAGCAGCAGTGAATGTAGCTCCCAGGCAGCCATACTATCACAAGGGCAAACCAAAGACTGTGCTCTGTAGTGTAGTATATTTAGTAAATCACATGAGATATTCAACACTTAATTATAAAATGGGCTTTGTATTAGATGGGTTTGTCTACTGTAGGCTAATGTAAGTGTTCTAAATACTTACATTAGTAAGCATGATAGTAAGCTGTGATGTTCAGTGAGTTAAAAGTATCAAATCCATTTGGCCTTATGAGATTTTCAAGTTATGATGGGTTTATCAGGATGCGATCCCATTGTAAGTAGAGGAGCATCTGTAGGCAGATTTGAGTCCCCCCACATGTTTTTTACTGTGAATGTTTATTAATTTGCTTTCTACTTACACCAATCAGATTTAGAAGAAGTAAATAGGATATATCACTAAAGGTCAAGACTCATAATCAATGGTGTTCATATCACTTTAGTTTATGAACTTGATTGAGACTGTAGGTCACCTAAACTTGAGAGATGTTGAAATCCATCTGAGTTTGTTATTTTCTGAAGGTTTCCAGTTTTGCAAAGCGTTTTGTAAAATATATGGCCATTTAACAGTTTGAATGCATTATTAACACCTTTCTTGGTGATTTTTACTTTCGTACAACATTTAATAAACTACAATTGTATTTAAATAAATTGCTATACATAAATGTGATCAGTTGTTCTTGATACGTAAGAGGAAGGATATGGGGTTTCCCAGTGTAACCAGTGTGTTATTCTAATACCTAGTCAGTCTTATTTGATACCGTTATGTTTCTCTGAGCACTGAAATTTGTGCATGTTTCTCTATGACTTCTCATTTCCCCCCAGTTTTACGTCTGAAGATTATTTGTTATTATTATATAATAAGTTTGACCCTCTTCCTTCCCAATTTCTATACATACCTCTCTTTAAATTAAGGACATGACAGTAACAGCAAGAAAAATGTCTCAATAGAAATGGATGAATGAGGTCCTTCTTGTTTTCACTCAAGAGAATTTCAGTTTCTTGAAAGTGTACCCCTTTCTAATAAACGTTATTTTCTCTTTCAATAAAAAAAAAATTAAGGACATGATTTCTTGAAAACATTTCAAAAAACATTGTAAGAAATGTACCCCAAGAGTCATAGATATGATTTTTGGACAATTAACTACCTTGAATAATTTGTCAGGTGAAAATAATGGGACAAATTCGGTCTCTAACTTAGAATTGAAAATTAAATGCCAAAAAAAATGGTAAGAAAATTACTAAATATATACTAAATATCAGTCCTATGGATTATTATTTTCTCATTAAGATTATAAAATTGAATACTAGGTAATAAAATAATACTGCATAATACTATGAATATAAGATTGTTGATAAGAACTGTATACAACTGTCAATTAGAAATTCATGTGGATGGTGACTAGATGAGAAACACAAAAAGTGAAATATGTAGTGATGAGATTAGGTGTAGGTTTCACTTTGAAAAAAATTACTTTCAAATGAATATTGAGATGGATACAAAAGAGTCCAAAATCCATTTGGGTTTTGTCAGCCTGTGATTTCTTTTTTCTTAAATGGATATAGGGACACTGTCAAGCTGGACTGATCATTCCACAGTACTCACAATCATTATTTATGCTTAGTTATTTCAGAAATTGGGTTATATTTACTTACTTTAGAAGTTGAAATGGAACTTTGAGAGTTGGAAAGATTTTGCGCTAGAGCCAGTAGAGCGGGTGTGTGTGTGGTGACAGTTCGTATTTCACTTTTGCTGCCTTTCTTTCTTTCTTGTGGCAGTCCATATACTTCTGATTGGCCAAGAAGTATCTGCTCTTTACCGCTGGAATTCAGAGCTGAATCAATTCTCTTTTGTTCTGGAAGCACCTTCTGCTCATGATGCCGCTTCTGTTACAGTAAAGTCTCTTAATTCAAGCATGAATTTAATTGCCGTAGCAGGAGCAACACACTCACATTTGTATGAACTGGCCTACGTCTCCAGTCAGTCTGACTTTATTCCGAGGTAGGTTCAACCTTTTATGCTCACCTTCATTTTATATGGCATGAAATTTCCAAGTGAGACTGAGAAGTATACAAGCATAACAGTTATTTATAAGCCAGAAACCTGGTTATTATTCATATTTCTAATACCTATTCTACCAAGTTCATTAGTATTATAGTAAAAATTCAGGTTAAAATTTTATTTATGAAATGCGATTCTTCTTAAACTTTGATATTACTCAGTGTAGTGAGAGTTTCATATATAATCAGTCTACTGTGTATATAACTGTTATTTATTGCCATTGATTTATTTTATACCTACTTCTTATGCTAGTTCAGGTGAACTGATATTTGAACCTGGTGACAGAGAAGCTACAATAGCAGTAAATATTCTTGATGACATGGTTCCAGAAGAAGAAGAATCCTTTAGAGTTCAGCTTAAAAATCCCAAAGGAGGAGCAGAGATTGGTCTTAATGGTTATGTGAAAATAACTATTCTGTCTAATGACGATGCTTATGGAGTCATTGGATTTGCTCAGGTAATGATATTGAAGGCTCCACACTTGCGAGTGAAAATGATTGTATTTGTAAATTAGCTCTGGCCAGCCCACAGAGTGTGAGTCACAATTTGAGTATCTTTAGCTTTTCTCTCTTCTCTCGCTGCTGCTTTACCTCCTAATGTGCATTCTAAAGTGAATTCTACTGACATCTGCAATTTATAGTCTTAAATACTGGACTCTCTGGGACAACTAGTCCTATTTTTTTTTTTTAGGTTTACTTATTCTTTTTATAGGATTGGATTTTCGATATTACTAGTTGACCTTGATCCAGAAGTTTAACTCCTCTGCTGGTATTTTACCAGATTTTAAATATATTGCCCATATACACTGCACACTGTGTTTTTTTATACATACCACACACAAATATCTTAGTTCAGAGGATGGAGGGAAGAGGGGACTGGAGACTGCGCATAAACTATATACTTATAGATGTAGATGCCTTTGTCCTGAGGAAACAGAACCATGCAACAACTCTCAAGTCCACTTCCTGTCCAGACTTCACATCCTTTTACCAGTGTAAAGAGGACACTCATTCATATTGCATCAATTCTTCCTATTTGTAAAGTGTATTTTGACTTATTAACTAGACTCATATCTGCAGCTATACTGATCTTTCTTTGAAATTTTCGGCATATAAGGGAAACCTAATTCAAACTGGCTTAAATGCTGAGAGCACACACACAGCGAAGGTGGATTTGGGATTGGCTACCGCACTCACTCAACATGGGTCAGATCTTTCCACCTGTCCTCACTGTCCATGCAAAACTGATCTTTCATTTAGTTGTTTGAAAGCTCATGTTATTGTTAAGGCTATGGCTTTCTTATTCCTACCCAGTTAGAGTCTGGGAGATGCTTTATGTGACTTTTTGACTAAGGGAGAAATTTTCCAAAGCCTCTATAACTCTTTATGTCTCATTGGCTAGAACTGTATAAGAAGCATTATCACTTGATCTCTCATTCATGCATCCATTCATTCATTCATGAAGCAGTTTTTTAAAACAAACATCTACTATGTTTATAGATACTATATGAGATGCTAAAGATGTCATAAAATGAAACAGCAAAAAAACTCTATATTCATTAAATTTTAGAGAAGGAAAGGGGAGGCAGACAGTAATCAAAGCCTAAAGAAAATACGTACTGTATTTGATGTTGGTAAGTGCTGTTGAGAAACTTCTGGCAGGGAATGCAGATGGAAAGTGCAAGGGAGGGGAAGAATTTGTGGGTGGAAAAATCAATAAAGGGATGATCAGGGAGACTACATGTAGTAAGTGATAGAGACGAAAAGGTCTGTGGGGGATGAGGAGTGGGTTATGTGAATATTATGGTGGGAACTGTTAAGGTAGAGAGACCCATCATCAAGGACAGAGGCCCTGCAGTGTGGACTTGCCCATCTGGAATAAGTGACTGAAGTCAGTGTATAAGAGGGTGATGAGGTCCAAGGGGTGAAGAGCCATGGCCCCATATTGGCGATTCCTGAGACTATTCACAGTTTCAGTAGTTCAGTAGAAATACTCATAGTACTCAGTGTGTAGCCATACTCATGGGTGTGTTTTATTATAGCAAAGGATACAGCATAAAATCATCTTAGGAAAAATGAAATCCAGACCAGGTACTAGCTTTCAAGAGTTTTTCCCTATGGAGTTACACAGGACATACTTTATTTCCCCACACTGACTTGTTATAACACATGTGGAATTTTGTCAGCCACATTGCTCACTGAAGTCTCAGTGCCCAGGGTTCTAATTGGAATTTGGTCATGTAGACACCCTCTACCTTTCACATAGCAAAATTCTGGATCCCAGAAGGAAGATAGATATTAATGTAAGCCATATTATTTATATAAATAATTTATGCACAGGTAGTCATTTATCAGTTCTGGGAATGGTGGGAATCTTCCTGAAATCCTAGTTCCCAGATGTTAGCTGATGGCCATCTTTGTGAGCAAGGCCATTGCAGGGATAGCAGTCAGGCCTGCTGTGTTAACACTTGCTTGCACAGAACTTAGCATCATAATGTATTTGGCCTCTTAGGAAAATGTGGAGCCATTGGAGGGGCTGGGGTGGAACAGTAATGTGACATGACTCATATTGTAGAAAGAACACTCCAGGTATAGTATGAAAACATATGTTTCATATGTTCTCATATGAAAAGATTTGTAGTAACTCAGCAATAAGTGGTAGAGCTGAGTGAGGCATGAATTTACCCTCTGCTGAGGTATAGACAACTGTTAGGAGGAGTAGGTTTAGGGGAGATAAGATGAGGAATTTTGGACTGTAGGTAGGGTTCAAGTGGTAGTGCATCTGCTTTACAAGTGTTAAGTCCTGACTTCAAACCCCAGTGCCACTCCCCCCAAAACAGACAAGTTTTATTTATTTATTTATTTTCCTTTTTCTTGTATTATTCATATGTGCATACAAGGCTTGGTTCATTTCTCCCCCCTGCCCCCACCCCCTCCCTTACCACCAACTCCGCCCCCTCCCCCTTCCCCCCCCTCAATACCAAACAGAAAATTAGCAAAACTCTAATTTTGTTGTAGAGAGAGTATAAGCAATAATAGGAAGGAACAAGGGTTTTGCTGGTTGAGATAAGGATAGCTATACAGGGAGTTGACTCACATTGATTTCCTGTGCGTGGGTGTTACCTTCTAGGTTAATTCTTTTTGATCTAACCTTTTCTCTAGTACCTGTTCCCCTTTTCCTATTGGCCTCAGTTGCTTTTAAGGTATCTGCTTTAGTTTCTCTGCATTAAGGGCAACAAATGCTAGCCAGTTTTTTAGGTGTCTTACCTATCCTCACCCCTCCCTTGTGTGCTCTCGCTTTTATCATGTGCTTATAGTCCAATCCCCTTGTTGTGTTTGCCCTTGATCTAATGTCCACATATGAGGGAGAACATACGATTTTTGGTCTTTTGGGCCAGGCTAACCTCACTCAGAATGATGTTCTCCAATTCCATCCATTTACCAGCGAATGATAACATTTCGTTCTTCTTCATGGCTGCATAAAATTCCATTGTGTATAGATACCACATTTTCTTAATACATTTGTCAGTGGTGGGGCATCTTGGCTGTTTCCATAACTTGGCTATTGTGAATAGTGCCGCAATAAACATGGGTGTGCAGGTGCCTCTGGAGTAACCTGTGTCACAGTCTTTTGGGTATATCCCCAAGAGTGGTATTGATGGATCAAATGGTAGATCGATGAACAGACAAGTTTTATACATGGATTATCCCCAGTCAGTTGCCTACAAGTGTCATGTTATTACTGTTACCAATCTAGCCCCTTTTGGTGCTAAGGACAGTTAGCTTCTGCTAATGTCTAGTAGACATGTTTAAGAAAAGGAGAACAAATCAGGTCAAATATTATGTTCTACTTAACCCAATGTATCTAAAATATTCTCATGCCAACATATAATCTGTATAGAATTATTACTACACTTCACTTTTTTTTGTGGGGGGAGGTCCTTGGGATTGGCCTTAGGGCTTCATGGTTGTTAGGCAGGCATGTTACACTTGAGCCATTCCACCTGCTGTAGAAAATTATTGATTAAATATTTAACATTAATTTTTAATACTTTATCTTTAAATTCCAGGGTACATTTTACACTTAGACACTAGATAGTTCTACATACAGACAGTGGCTTCTGTATAGAGCAGTGCAGCTCTAAGACATGAAATATGTGTTGGGAGAGTTAGAGAGAAGAGGATCCCTGCCCCCACCAGGTGTGTTATGTTTGCTCACTTGCTTCAAATCTCTGCTGAAGTGATACCTTATCAGAAAGGCCAGGGAGAGACTGTGTGTGCTCTGCAGTCCAGGTCCATCTCCTCACCTGAAGCCGTGGTGCAGATGCAGAACCACCACTTACCTCAGCCACTTGGGAGAGATTTGTCTTTAGGAATCTTGTTCCAAAATTGTTCTAGAGACATAAATTCATCCCTGCCAATGGATAATACCCTGGGTTCCTTCAGTCCATTCAGTAGCATTCCTCCATATAGTCTTTTGTGTCTGGACAACTTCTTTCCTAGATGAGATTTAGTACATGATTAGAATTTCTTGAGTATTTTCTGGCTTCATGAAGTTCTTGCCTTTCTAACATCACTAATAGAGTGCATGAGCCAAAGGGAGGCTTCTTTACAAAAAAAAAAAAAAACTAAAAAAGCATAGTCTTTTCTTAATAAATTATATGCATATTTTAAAATCAGGCATTTTCTTCTGGAAAGCTTGATTTCCTTAACCAAGATTTTATTACTATGTAGTATCTATAACTATGTTAAAAAGCTGTGTAAAATATAGTTGTAGGACAGGATCTCTCCTGAAATTAGCATTCAAAGTAGGAGCTTCCATAAGCATTAAGAAATTAATGGGTGAGACTCTTCTCGGTTTACCATAGTAAATAGAAATGAAACATCTTACTTTAAAAACGCTCCATATTTTTGCCTTATTACCTATTGAGAAACCAATCTAAAGTATTAATTTTAAGGAAACGTTCACTAAGTGGCTAACAAGAGATGGTGCATGTATTTAGTGAAGAGTGTGGCAGTCACACAGAGGTAGAAATTAATTTGGAATAAAGGAAAGAGGAAATGAACTTCAGGACAGGGGGCATTTGCAAATGATCAGAAAGAGGGCCTTAATTCTCACAACATCATTGCCGTTGGATGCAATGGTGCATCCCATCGCAAAATGTGAGTTGTATGTCCAACCAGTATTTTACTAATAAGAAACAAAGACCTAGAGGAATTGCTAGACTTTATACAGGGAATAAAGTCTTCCCTGCTATTCTGATTTCATCCTTTCTATTCTATATTGTACATGCTGTGAACGCTACCTAAAAGGTGTGTTTTCTGAATATAAAAGTAATACATAATCATTGAGCAAAATTTGAAAAACTATAGAAACAAAGAAAAAAATAAAAATCCCACAAAATTAACGTTTTTGTTGACTTTTGTATTTCATTGTTTTAGTCAGGGTCTTGTTATATAGCCTGAGAAGGCCTTGAACTTGTGATCCTTCTACCTATGTTTTCTGAGTGCTGGTATTACAAGTGTGTGCTACCACATCTGGCCCTATATTAGTGTGTTTTACCTGTTGGTTAGTACTATAAAGTTCGTCAATAAGCAATAACATAAAATAAAGACAAGATTTCTTAGGTAATTTCATATAACCCCTCATGACTTCCTATGTATTTTTCAGAATTCATTATATAAGCAAGTGGAAGAAATGGAGCAAGATAGTCTAGTAACCTTGAATGTTGAGCGCACAAAAGGAACATATGGTCGTGTAACTGTAGCATGGGAAGCTGGTGGAAGTATTAGTGATGTATTTCCTACCTCAGGAGTGGTATGTAATTTACAAAATGATAGGAGACACTTTTAAAGTATGGTTACTCTTGATGTATGGGAACAAATCCTGCCTTATGGATGAAATGTTTCAGTTTGACCATGTCAACACTGGATTCCTACTAATCACCATAGAGAGGAATACAATTTAAGGTTAGTTTCATTGTTGTGGTTATTGTTATTTTTTTCGTTCACAAAACAAAAATTACTTGTAAAAAATAGGCGATCCCATTTGAGGTTCAATATATTGATTGGACAAATTGTGAGTGTGTTACATTGTCAGAAAGATAGAACTAACCAAATTGGGAATGGAAAAGTACTGAGATTTAAGTAAAATGGCAGCAGTAAGTAAGAAACAAATGTTTGTAAAATAGTCAGACTTAACGGAAAAGTAGATCAAAGTTGCTGTGATGGATATTTCTGAAAACAGAAATGGGGATTGAGAGTTGTGTGCAGAAGGGCGACTCAAGTCACATCTGTAAGTAAATGAGGAAGGGGAGAAAATGCCAAGGACAAAGTTGATCCCCAGGCAATCTCATTTGAGGTTGATCTTGTGGAGAGTTTTGCTACAGCTAAGGACCATCCCTAATGAGGAGCACAGAAGCTATGATTCCCAGTAGCTGAGGGATGGGTGTGTCAGCCCCAGAAAGTGATCTGAGCAAATGATCACTTGTCTACCACTGTAGTATAGTATAAAATTTGGATTCAGTATTGAGAATAGAAACAGAGTAGCCAAAGAAGTAGATGTTTCTCAAAGATAGGGTTCATGGAGCCATTTGTTCTTATTTGGAAGATGGATTGTCCCATTGGCTTGTCTTAGATTTCACAGATTAGACAGTATATTTTGCCTACATTCTTCTCTAAAGAATTATTTTAAAGGGACTCTTATGCAATTATCTCAAAAAAGGACAATTGTATATCTCAGTCCAGCATTTCAGATTCCTGTATCATTTGAGAAGTAATTGGGGCTTTAATGCATAGAGAATATAGCAAATGCTGTTCTGTTTAATACTTATTTTATGTGAGATACCTAAACTGTGTTGTATTTCTCAGCTTCTGTATGTTTTAATATTTCTCAAATTAACATTTATTATATAAACATGATTAAATGTGTACTACCTTGAATGTAGACTATATTTTGAAAATTTCTTTTACACAGGAGTCAGTAAGTTTTTTAGTGAAGTGTCAGATAGAAATATTTCAGGCTCAGTGAGCCATCTGCCTCTTTCACAACTCCTTTGCTTTTGTAGCACAATTGTGCTGGGCAATATAAAGCGGACATCATAGGCATTGATAGGGAATATCAGTTGAGTTGGCTTGGCTGTGTTCTGATAAATTTCATTTAAAAAAGATGAATTTGGGCTGTATATATGGCTTAACAGGTAAGGTGCTGAGGCTCTCAGTTCATGCCCCAGTACTAGCTAGATAAATAAATAAATAAATAAATAAATTTGATCAGTGAGCAGCAGTTTTCTGATCCCAGATTTTATCAATAAGGCTCGGGGTTTGTGACCTCCAGTGCCTTGCCTGTTGGTAAGATGAGTGTTTGCAGAGGTAGAGGCACAGGCCTGAAATGTTAGTTTGAATAATTGAATAGTTTGTAGCCATATTTCTGGAGAATGGGAATGAGGTTGGGAATTATGGGGTGTGACATCCAAGAAGCAGACAGAAGCCCTATCATCAAGGACTTTCAGGTGCTTTTAAACAAATTTGGATTTGAGACTTTTAGACAAGAGACACTGGAAAGGAGAGGGATGCTGTGATTTGCATCTCTCCCTGTCTTTCTCTCTCTACCACTAATTTTACTGATTAGTTGTTAAATGATAGCTATATTTGGAGAGCAATCCCGATGAAAGTCTTGTAAACAAAAGTGCTTAAAGTAGTGTGCCAACTTCTTTTATTTTTAGAGAGCTTTACATATGGTATCTAGCACTTAGATTCCCAAACAGATTTGTAGCTTGTATTGTAGAGTATAATGAAATGTGAGCTCCAGGGTATGACACTTTGGCTGCACATTTTATTAGTATAAGTTTTAAAACTGGTTTTCTTTTTGGTTTTCCCTAACAATCTTCTCTGCTTTTAATATGAAAGGCATTTAATTTATTTGTGTAATCATATTATGTTGCTTAGCTGTCTTGTGTTATTTAGGTTGTGGTCATATTAAAAGAAACTTATTTTTTTAAGAAATATTCTTACTGAACAGGGATACTCACAAAATAAATAATATCTTTCTAAAATTTTAGATTTCATTTACTGAAGGCCAGGCACTGTCCACGATCACGCTGGCTGTTCTTGCTGATGAGTTACCGGAGTTATCAGAGGTTGTGATTGTAACACTCACTGGTGTTACCACAGAAGGGGTTGTGGACCCATCAAAAGGTGCTACTGTTGATCAGAAAAGAAGCAGGTCCATGATAACTACCCTGCCCAGTGACTCACCCTATGGCGTGGTAGGCTGGCATGCTCAGTCTCTGTTCACTAGAGTGGCAGAGCCTAAAGGTAAATCCTGTTAAATATTTTTTAAGTTTTAGTAAAAAGCTTCAGTAGTCAATTTAATTCTGATACTTGTAAGGAATGTAAATTTCTCTTTTTGTAGGACCTTTTCAATTTGATGGTTCATAGTCCTTTTATTTTTATCAATCTTTTGATCATATAATCACTCACCAATAACATTATTAATATCTAATATCTAAAAACATACTATCATTTATCAGTAAAAGTGACTGGCTTTTACTTTCTCTTTTTTCACCATTTCTTTTTTTATTATTTATTCATTTATTCATATGTGTATACATTGTTTGGGACATTTCTCCCTGCTGCCTGCCCCACACCCCTGCCTCCCCACCTCCCTCAGGTGGCAGAACCTGTTCCTCTCTCTTGTTCTCTGATTTTGTTGAAGAGAAAACATAAGAGATAATAAAGACATAGCGACATAGTGTTTTTGCTAGCTTGAGATAAAGATAACTATACAGAGAGATTCCTAGCATTGCTTCCATGCACATGTGTATTACAACCCACATCTATACCAGATGTGGGTTCATCTTTACCTGACCTCTTTACTACTTCCTGGTCACCTTCCCCTAGTGGCCTCTGCCAGTTTAAGATTATGTTATTAACTCCTCTACAGTGGGCACAACAAACACTTTCGTGTTTTGGGTTTCCTACCTTTCCCTAATCCTTCTGTATGCAGTCTCCCCTTAGCGTGTGACCCATGTCCAATAATATTACTGCAATTGTTTTAGTTCTATAATCCACATATAAGGGAGAACATACAATTTTTGGCCTTCTGAGCCTGGCTAACTTCACTTAAGATGATGTTCTCCAGTTCCGTCCATTTACTTGCAAATAACAAAATATCATTCTTCTTTGTGGCTGAGTAAAATTCATTGTGTATAAATACCACATTAACTCAATCCATTCATCAGTAGTGGGGCCTCTTGGCTGTTTCTATAACTTGACTGTTGTGAATAGTGCCACACTAAACGTGGGTGTGCAGGTGCCTATGGAGTAACCTGAGTTGCATTCCTTTGGGTATATCCCTAGGAGGGGTATTGTGGATTATATGGCAGATCTATGTCTAATTTTTTAAGAAGTCTCTATATTGTTTTCCAAAGTGGAAAACAATACATTCCCACCAGCAGTGTATGAGCACCCCTTTTTCCCCACATCATCACCAACATTTGTTGGTGGTGGTGTTCTTGATGATAGCCATTGTAACAGGGGTGAGGTGGAATCTTAGTGTGGTTTTGATTTGCATTTCTTTTATGGCCAGGGATGGTGAGCATCTTTTCATATGTTTTTGGCCATTTGGATTTCTTCCTTTCAAAAAGTTGTGCTTTGTTCAGTTGCCCACTTCTTTATTGGTTCATTGATTTTTGGGAAGTTTAGTTTTTTGAGCATCCTGTATATTCTGGTTATCAGTCCTTTGTCTGATGTATAGCTAGGAAATATTTTCTCCCACTCTGTGGGTGGTCTCTTTAATTTAGAGACCATTTCTTTTGTTGTGCAGAGCTTTTTAATTTCACATAGTCTCATTTATCCATCCTTCCTCTTAGTTGCTGGGCCACTTGAATTCTACTGAGGAAGTTCTTGCCTGTACCTATTGCTTCCAGAGTATTCCCTGCTCTTTCCTGTACTAACTTCAGAGTTTCAGTTCTGATATTAAGGTCCTTAATGCACTTTGAGTTGATACTAGTACAGGGTGATAGGCATGGATCTAGTTTCAGTTTTCTGCAGACAGATAACCACTTTTCCCAGCAACATTTGTTGAAGAGGATGTCTATTCTCCATCGTATGTTTTTGGCAACTTTGTCAAAAATAAAGTGGGCATGGCTCTGTGGATTCATATCTGGGTCCTCTATTCTGTTTCTCTGGTCTTCATATCTGTTTTTTGTGCCAGTGCCATGCTGTTTTTATTACTATGGCTCTATAATATAGTTTGAAGTCGGGTATTGTGATACCTCCAGCATTGCTGTTTTTGCTGAGTATTGCTTTGGCTATTTGCAGTCTTTGTGTTTCCAAATGAACTTTAGGGTAGATATTTCAGTCTCTGTGATGAATGTCATTGGGATTTTGATGGGAATTGCATTGAACATGTAGATTGCTTTTGGTAATATAGCCATTTTTATTACATTGAGCTTACCAGTCCATGAGCACGGAAGATTTTCCACCCTCTGTAGTCTTCCTCAATTTCTTTCTTCAGAGGTTTGTAGTTCTCCTTGTAGAGGTCATTCATATACTTTAAGTTTACTCATAGGTATTTGATTTTTTTTTAGCCTATTGTAAATGGAACTGTTTTCCTATATTTTTTCTCAGTTTGTTCACTGTTGGTGTATAGAATGGCTACTGAATTTTGTAAGTTGATTTTGTATCCTGCTACATTGCTGAAACTGTTTATAGTGTCTAGGAGTTTTTGGGTAAAGTTTTTTGGGTCTTTGAGGTATTGGATCATGCCATCTACAAATAGGGATACTTTGACAGTTTCTTTACCTATTTTTATTCCTTTTATTTCTTCTTTTTGCCTTATTGCTTTGGCTAGGAATTCCAGGAGTATGATGAGTATGAGTGGCGAGAGTGGGCACATTGTCTTGTTCCTGATTTTAGGGGAAGTGGTTTCAGTTTTTCCTTATTAAGTATGATGTTGTCTAGAGGTTTGTCATCTATAGCCTTTATAATGTTGAGGTACACTCCTTTTATTCCTAGTTTTCTTAGAGCTTTATCATTTAAGTGGTATTGAATGTAATTAAAGCCTTCTTCTGTGTCCATTGAGATGATCAAATGTTTTTTTTCTTTGCTTCTATTAATGTGCTGTATTATGCTTATTGATATGCATGTGTTGAATCATCCCTGCATCCAGGGAGGAAGCCGACCTGGTCATAGTGAATGATCTTTCTGATATGTTGTTGGGTTTGTTTTGCCATTATTTTATTGAGGATTTTTGCATCGATATTCATTAAGGAGATTGGCTTATAGTTCTCCTTTTTGGATGTGTCTTTGGTTTTGGGATGAGTGACTGGCTTCAGGAAATGAGTTAGGCAGTGTTCCTTCCCTTTCTATTTCATGGAAAAGTTTAAGGAGAGTTGGTATTTGTTCTTCTTTAAAGATGTGATAGAATTCAGCAGAGAATTTGTCAAGTCCTGAACTTTTCTTTTTTGGGAGACTTAATTGCTGCTTCAGTTTCATTTCATGTTATAGAGTTGTTTAGGTGATTAATATCTTCTTGGTTCAGTTTTAGATGGTGATAGTATCTAGAAATTTGTCCATTTCTTCAAGATTTTCAAATTTATTAGAATATATGTTATCAAAGTAGTCTCTGATGAGTCCTTGGGTTTCCTTTGTGTTGTTTTCTCCCCTTTTTCGGTTCTGATTTTGCTGATTTGGGTCTTTTCCCTCCTCATTTTAGTCATATTTGCCAGTGGTTTGTCAATCTTGCTTATTTTTTCAAAGAAACAGCTTTTTGTTTTGTTGATTGTTTGTATGGTTTTTTTTGATCTGCATTTCATTAATTTTGGCCCTTATTTTTATTACTTCTCTCCTGCTTGATTTAGGTTTTGCTTGTTCTTGTTTTTCTAGGAGTTTAAGATGTAACATTAGGTCATTTATTTGAGATCTTTCTGCCCTTTTAATATATGCACTTGTGGCTATAAACTTTCCCCTTAGGACTGCCTTCACTGTGTCCCATAGGTTCTGGCAGGTCGTGTTTTCATTTTCATTAACTTCCAGAAACCTTTTAAATTGCTCTTTTATTTCATCAGTAACCCACTGATCATTAAGCAATGTGTTATTCAGCTTCCAATTGTTTGCATGTTTTTTACTGTTTTTTTGTTGTTGTTGAGTTCTAGTTTTGATACATTGTGATCAGATAGAATGCAGGGGATTATTTCTATTTTCTTATATTTGCTAAGGCTTGCTTGGTGCCCTAAGATGTGATCAACTTTGGAGGGAGATCCATGGGCTGCTGAGAAGAATGTATATTGTGCAGATGTTGGATGAAGTATTCTGTAGACATCAGTTAGGTCCATTTGATCTATGGTGTGATTTAGTTTTAGAACTGCTTTATTGATTTTTTTGTTTGGATGACTTATCTATTGGTGATAGAGGGGTATTAAAGTCTCCCACTACCACTGTGTTGGGGTCTATATGTGTTTTTAAGTCCTTCAGAGTATGTTTGATGAAATTGGGTATACTGACATTGGGTGCATATGGGTTGATAATTGTTATTTCCTTTTGGTGTAGTTCCCCTTTTATTAGTATGAAGTGTCCTTCTTTATCTCATTTGGTCAATGTAAGATTGAAGTCTACTTTGTGTGCTATAAGTATTGCTACTCCTACCTGTTTTGGGGTATCATTGACTTGGTAATCTTCTTCCAGTCTTTCACCCTAAGCCAGTGTTTATTTCTGTCACTGAGATGGGTCTCCTGTAAACAACAGATTTTGGATCTTCCTTTTTAATCCAGTTTGCCAAATGATCTCTTTTGATGGAAAGCTGAGTCTGTTGACATTTAGTGTTAATATTGATAGGTATGTGGTGATTCTACCATTTAGTTGTTTTTGTTATTTAAGGGCTTAACTGTGTGGCAGCTGAATCAGTGCTACTCTCTGGTTCCTTGTCTTTTCTTCTCCTGTGGTTTGGTACTGCCTGTCCTCTCGTGGTTTCATTTGCTTTCATATTCTGTGTGCAGAATTCCTTGGAGAATCTTTTGAAGTGATGGCTTGGAGGTCATGTATTGTTTTAGTTTCTGCTTATCGTGGAAGATTTTTGTTGCTCCATCTATTTGAATGATAGTTTTGCTGTTCAGAGTATCCTAGGGTTGAAGTTATTTTCATTTAGTGCCGAAATACCTCACTCCATGCCCTTCTTGCTTTTAGGTTTCTGTTGAGAAATCTGCTGTGATTTTGATGGGTTTACCTTGATATGTTATTTGTTTTATCTCTCTTACAGCCTTCAGTATTCTTTCTCTATTCTCTGTGCTTGTTATTTTAATGATAATATGCTGTGGGGAGGTTCTATTTTGGTCAAGTCTGTTTGGTGTCCTGGAGGCTTCTTGTATCTGAATGGGCATAACTTTCTTGAGTTTTGGGAAATTTCTGTTATTATTTTTTTAATATATTACAAATCCCTTTGCTTGGACCTCTTCTTCTTTAATGCTCATGAATCTCAGGTTTGGTCTCTTGATGGAGTCAGTGAATTCTTGCATTTCTTTTCACAACTTATGAATTGTTTGACTACCATTTCTTCAGCTTTTTCTTTATTTCTATTTTTATCTTCTAGTTCTGAGATTCTGTGTTCCACTTGTTCTGGTCTGCTGGAGTGGACTTCCACTGTGTTTGTGTTTCTGTTTGATTCCTTTGTCTGAGGTTTTCTATACCTTGGGTCACTTCTTAATATTTTTTTTACTTTCATCCTTAATTAATTTATCTCTATATTATAGTGTTCTCTGTTTCACTTTGGTGTTTATTTAAGGTGGCTCTCAGTTCATTTATTTGTTTCTGTTATGCTTCTTGTGTCTTCTCCATGAAATTCTCAGAGATTTCTTGCAAGATTCCTTCTTTGACAGTGTTTTTGTCGGCATTGCTGGGTTCCTTAGTGTGATTTGTCAGTGTTTTGTTGGGATCAGGAACTGGGCATCCATTTTCTTCATTTCATTCTGAGTCATGTTTGTTCTGTCAGTTGATGCACAGGCTTAGAGCTGGCAGTGGTGAGAAATGGCACCAGATTTTCTCAGTGCAGTGTGGCGTGGTGAGGCTTTCCACAGACTAGGGGTTCAGGATATCGAAAGTTTGATTCTGGTTGATGCTTTAGTTCTGTTAAGCTTCTTTTTCCTGTAAATATTTTTGGAATGTTAAGTGGCAAATTTACCATTTTTTTGTTCCTTCAGTCGCCTTTTACCCTCTTGCAATCAGGGACTTTAAGTGACGGAGCCAAATAGGTTATCCTGATCAGCTAGCAAAGAGCAGCTGTTCCCACTTGACTCTTCATCATTTCCTTATGTGTCCTCATTCCTCACTCAGATTTCTTTATAAATTTTCAGTTGTTACAGAGAATAGTAAACAATACTGTGAGATGTACTTGGTACTCAAGGTATTAATTGTTTAACCCCAAACAGCAATTAGAATAGTTTTATCCTATGTGTTGTATAGTGGTCATTCCCTATTTCCTTTGGCTGCTAAAATCTTTACCTATATGTTATTCATAGCAATTGGTAGATACTGTTTCTCAGACAAAGGTCAGTTGACTTATTTAAATAAAAGGCTGTATATAATATGTATTTAGAATATACTACATGAAGGTTCTCACATTTTTAGGTAATAACATGGACATCGAGTTTTCAAATACCTTTTATTTAAAGAGTTGATGGAAAAAACCAACAGTTATGTTCCTGGGCCTATATATATATGTATAGGAAAAAAAGCAATGGGCTGGACTGGAGATGTGGCTCAAGCAGTAGAGCGCCTGCTTTGTAAGCACAAACCCCTGAGTTCAAACCCCAGTTCACCCCACCCAAAAAAATAAGTGATAGGCTCCAATATAATGGTGTTTATTATTCATATAATAAACATTTTAAAAACACCTAGTAATTGCCAGGAATTGCGTGTGTTTTGGAAACAAAGGCACAAAATTTAGTAATCCTAAACTCCTAGACCAATGGGGGAGATTAGCAAGCATTTTTAACTTCATTTTGTATGGCAAATTAAATTTTTTAAAATTCTAAGAAATGATTTGCAAAGTAGGTGCTGTGAAATACTTTGCTCTTAGTAGTAGGCCCCTCACTATAGGAACAAAAATCACTCTTCTAATGATTAGTCATTAAATGATTACTTTATGTATTTAGTTATTCATTTTCGAAGAATCTTCTGAGCATATGTAACTATCACCTCTGTTCAACCTTCATATATGCACTCTGCTGAGACTTCCAGCAATTTCAGTTAAAGTGTATGATGTGCACAACCGAGGAAGCTCATTGCACAATCAGCATGGGGCATTAGATGAGTACAGCTCCAGGAGTGGATGGTGATTTTCAGCCAACTGCAGATAGTGGAGACAAAGCACAGATACTCCGTGGGGAAACATGTTGTCTTTGTTTTGCACTTCTTTCCTTAACTGTCTGAACAGGTAGTGCAGAACATTCTACCATGAGTGCTTGGAACAGCATTGACAGAAAAAAGAAACTCACTCACTTGAGCATGTTTACCTCACAGAGAACGTCTCCATACTTCACTTACCAATTGTTCGAGAAAAAGGACTATTTGGGGATATTGCCATTCACTTGATAGCTAAGCCCAATGTCTTACTGCATGTCAATAATCAAGCTACTGAGAATGAAGACTATGTGCTACAAGAAAGAATAATAATAATGAAAGAAAATATAAAGGAAACTCATGCCAAAGTTGCCATTTTACCAGTAAGTATAGATTGCAATGAATATCATGCAAAATAAAGGAAAATGCTCTTAAGTGTAAAGTTGTGATGTCTTGTAGGTAAAAAATTCTTTTAAATATAAAATGTAGTTTTCATACCCAAATAATTTTAATAATAAATAAATGAATATTTTATAACTGACTGGCAAAATAACAAGTACATCAGTTATTATATTTAGTTATGAATAGGAATAATTTGAATGAACTTTGAAATATTGAATTTGTATTAGTTGTATGACTTAATGATTGATTCCACTATTATGATGGAGTAGTTGTTTTAAACTAATAACTGAATAACAGGGGAGTATTTTCATTTCATGATATCATTATTTGAATGAAGATTAATGTCTAGTTTTTGCTATCTCTCTCTCTAGTGTTTACTCTCTCTTATATAAGAGAGAAGCAGAAGCAGAGAGTGAGAATATGTGGATTTATCTGTAATAATGCATAGGAAATTGAGTTAATTTTGGTGCTATTAATATACTACATAACAATTATCAGAGCTGCGGGTATGGCTCAGTTGTAGAGTACGTGCCTAAATGCGTAAGGCTCTGGGTTCAATTCCTAGTACTACAAAAATTAAATATTGTGATTATAAATAATAACCTATAATATTGGTATCACTGTTATATACTATAAATGTATTATGTATTATTAAATAAGTGTAATACTATATAATAACATTAATGTTTTTAGCAGTGGTCTTGGCAAGATTAGGTAAAAGAATCTTCTAGAGAAAACAATCTGGAAAGGACATACAAATGGGGTAGAAAGAGGATGAGTTTCTTTTTCTATGTGTTTCCTTTTTATATTTAAAAATTTTTATTACCTATTCAAAACTAAAGTAAAACTTAAAAAATTAACTAAAGTGTAGACACCAAGTTCAGAGATTTCATTTTTAAAATATAGGTAAACTTATTTGTTATTCCTAAATTTATTTTTGGATATTATATATACAAGACCTATTCAGTAAAATATGGTCAAAATTGTGGGTATATTTTTCTAAAACTTATTTTTATTTGACAGTGAGATTGAGGGTTCCATTAAAACATTACCATTGGTCTTGGATATCCTGTAGATTCTGAAGCTCTCTATGAGAATGTATTAAATTATGACAAGGAATCTTTTATGTGTGATAGAGGTGCCCATTGTTGTAGATGGAGTCAGTTACTTTCTAACTGAAAAATATCAGGTTTTTAATGGAAATTAAACATATTTTTTAAAAATCACTGGACATGTTGTGCACCCCTGTAGTCTCAGCTACTTAGCAGGCTGAGTTGGGAAAAGATAACTTAATACATCTAAAAGTCTGAGACCAGCCTGGCCAACAAAGCCAGAAACCATCTCAAAAAAAAAAAAGATGAAGCACCATCTCTTTCTCCACCTCCCAGGATGATGCCCCAGAGTTGGAGGAAGGGTTTGTTGTCACTATAACTGAGGTGAACCTGGTGAGCTCGGCCCTCTCTGCAGAGCAGCCACGCGTGTGGAAGCCAGGAATGGAAACAGCAGAGATAATGATTGAAGAGAACGATGACCCCAGAGGAATTTTCGCGTTTCGCGTTGGCACAGTGAGATGGACATTCTCATATTTACAGCAATACAGAAGCTTGTCCCTGTTGATCTGGCCACTCTTTTATATTTTCTACAAAAGTACTGGCATTGCTTGTAGATATTTTTACGCATATAAGTAATAAAATTTGTGTTATTAACTAATTCTTAGGGTTTTTTTTTTAAGCTAGACCAAAAGACTAAGCTAGCTTGTTTTCATTAATTTTTCACTGTGATTTCAAAGCCTATTATGTCAGTGTCCACCTGACTCTTAAGTACTATTGAAAAGGTACAGTAAAACGATGCGAATAACAAGTGGGAATAAATATTGAGAATGAGTTACAACTGAGGGCAGTTACACTTTTATCTCACTCTTCAACTTACATTCTTTATTAAAGATGTTGCTGTGGTTTTCACTGCCTATGAGGTGCCTCCACCCCTGAATGTTCTTCATGTTCCTGTAGTCCGGCTGGCTGGAAGCTACGGGACAGTACATGTTTACTGGAAAGCGACACCAGGCAGTGCTAGCCTGGAGGACTTTCAGCCATCTCATGGGATTCTCAGATTTGCAGATGGACAAGTATGTTCATGATGAGTATCCTAATATTTTTGGTTGTTCTTCAAACATTTATAGGTATCCACAAATGAATGTGTGTTAGTGATTCCAAAATGCATTACACCATAACTGTTTCTTTGTTACATCAGCATAAGTATTATTAATTAATGTTATCTGTTAGTGGGAATGGGAAAAGAATGTTAAGAGGTAAGAAATCTTAACCCTTTCTGACTTTCCTCACCTGGTTCCATCTAAATTAGACGTTATAAAACAGGATAAGAATTAACTTACAGTTTACCTAACAATGTATAAAAAAAAAACTGGTAACTAGGCTATTCTAAGATTGTTAGTTTCTTTTATTGTATTTATTCTTAACATTCTGTAAATGCAGTTTATATTTTAATTTGAATTTTCAGTTTGAGTACATAATTATTTAATTCCTGAAATTTTTCTGTATAATTTAAGAATAAATCAAAATGATTCTTAACTATTTTGTTAAGAATAGTTAAAACTTGAAAATAGTTAAAACTTGAGAAAAAATTTTAAAATATTCTATATTTAGTCCTAATAATCTTAAAAATTACAAAATATTTTTCAGTATTAGAAGGTTTGTGAACTGGGTGTTTTATAAGCTGGTTTTTTTTTTAATTTCTTTTATTCATATATGGATACAATGTTTGGGTCATTACTTCCCACCCCCATTCTTCCCCCATCCCCCGCCCCTCCCCCGCCAGCTTTCTGCCCACTCTCTCTCCCCCACACCCTCTCTTCCAAGCAGAAACTGTTTTGCCCTTATCTCTAATTTTGTTGAAGAGAGAGTATAAACGTTAATAAGGAGAACCAATGTAGAAACTTTAAAGCAACAGAGGCCAAGAGGAGAAGGGGACTAGGAACTAGAGAAAGGGTCAGTTCGAGAAGAATCAATTTAGAAAGTAACACATATGTACATGGAAGCAATGCTAGGAATCTCCCTGTACAGCTATCCTTACCTCACTATAAGCTGTTTTTCATAACAAATTTAACCAACAAGTGGTAAAGTCGTGTGAACATCGTGAAAGTTTAGTACTCAACTAGCATGCTATCTGAGGGAGCCTGATGCTTTTGCCTTGACCAATTACATCAAATCTGCCAGCATATTATTGCCGGAGTGGTGGGGAAATCTGCTAAAAGATATAGTATACAGATCTGGATTTTCTGCCCATAAAGACGCTATTATTGTTAATGCTTATGAAATCATGAGTTTTTTACACGATTTAGAACTTTTAATCATTTCCTGCTAATAGGAGTGTAATGCAAATAAATGAGATTTTTTTCTGTCAAAAGCCATTTTCTGTCATTATTTTCATGGAACACCTTTGAGTTTTAGTTTTTCTCAGCATTTTATTCTGAGCATGGGGCTGAAGTCCCATTCACTTACCAGCATCCTTAAGTCATCATAGCTCTTAGAGTTCACACCTGTAGGGAAGATATTCTGCACTTTACAATATAATTGGAGGTGCAGACTTTTAATAAACTTCCATTTTGCCAATTTGATTTTTTTTAGGTTCACTGCCTAAGTATGACACCCACGTTTTCTTTGTCTTCATTGTAAAATTAAAGGTTGTAGATGGATTTACATAGAAAAAATTCATTTCTTGATAAAATGTCAGTGTCAAAGTACTGGAATTTACCTGTGTTATACAGAAAAAGTTATGTATTAGTCTTTAAAAACTTTAAAGTTGATTTTGCCAATTGAAATAGATCCTGATCATAAAACATCTAAGAACAGTAAACTTGGGATTTCTTCTTGCCTTCTTTTTCCTTACAAGAACAATTTTTGAGGCCAATGGGATTTATTTTAATTGCAGAAGACAATGATAATTTTATGGTTCATAAGTATTAATAGCAGCACACTAGGTGGTTAGAGCATGCATAGCATTTTAAATATTTTTTTCAAGAGTAAGAATTATTTTCTTATATCTGTAAATATGCTGCGTTTATTACTATATAATTTCATTTATCTTGGCAATATACATACTTTGTAAGATTTCGACTTTGAAATCTATTTATATCTAAATTAAAATATGTGAGGCCAAGTACGTGCCTCAAGCCTGTAATCCTAGCTACTTGGAAGCAAAGATCAGAAAGGAATTTATAATTCCATCCCACTCTGGGCAAAAACTTAGTGAGACCATATCTCAACCAATGGTAGGTGAGTGGTATATACCTGGCATCTCAGTTAAATAGGGAAGCACAAATAAGATTCACTGTCCAAAACTGGCCTGGACATGAAGTGAAATTATATCTCAAAAAATAACCAATTCAAAAAGTTTGGCAGCGTCAGCTCAAATGGTAGGAATGCCTCCTAGGCAAGTTACAAGGCCCTGAGTTCAACCTGCCAGTACTACTGAAAACAATTATTTATGAATATAATAGGAAAATAGCCCTGTTTTTTCTTTGTAGTGTTTCTAAATTCCATTCAAAAAATTAAAAAGGAAGATTGTTATTACATGATGCGTTTCTCCCTTCCCCCTCCTTCCTCTTCCTTCCTTTGAAGGTTACTGCAATAATAGAAATCACCATCATTGATGATGTTGAAGTTTGAATTCAGGGAGATGTTAGCTTGACATATATGAGCATTTTAACATCAGGCAATTTTTTATAAAAACCTTTTAAAATTATTTAATGAATTAGACACCATGATTGTGACTCTCCTGCTGCTTTTACCATTCAGGACTGTAGGAATCGTGGGTGGGTACTTGTTGTTTTCGCAGGGATGGCGTCCTTCCTCTCCTCTCATGCTCAATTACAGCTTTTCAATAACCATAGAGTTGGCTGTGTCTGAACATGGTATCTAGTTCATTCAATGTCCTGGGCCAGCATGCCATTCCCATCAAGAATGGAAAACCCATATCTCTCATGTTGTTACCTGGGAAGGATATGGGGTGAGGAAAATCACTTGAGAAAGGGATCCTTGCCCAGTTCCTTGAATAGCTCCCCAAACCCAATCCAAGGTATTGTATTATGTAACAAATAATTTCAAAAGGATTCATGGATCGGGCTCAAGAAAGGGCAACAAAGATATTTTAGTAAAACAGAGTACAGCTTGTTCCACATGGTAAAATTGAAAATGTACCACCACTAAAAAACAACTAAATTATTGAGCAATAACGAATACTTAAGAGCACCTGCCTGGCAAGCATTAGCCCTGAGTTCAAACCCTAGTACCAACAACAACAACAAAAACCCTTTCAAACTAAAAAAGACACTTAAGGTTTAGTCATGTAAAAATTTATTAGCATATTATAGTTGTACAGGAGTATATAATTGTGATATTTACATTTGTGCTTATAATATATGTTAGTAGATTGTACCCCTCCATCGTTTCTCCTTCTCCACTTCTTTACTCTTAGAATAATGTCAAAGGGTTCATTCTTCTTATTTTTTATATATGAATACAAAATACATCCACCATATTCACCCTCATTCCCCATTCCTTGGCCTACCTTCCTTCCACTTGGTACCCACCCCAGGAAAAGACCTATTTTACCCTCCAGCATCAGGCAGTTTTCAGTGGGAACAGATTCCTTTTATTGGGTATAGTAGACCTATGTGTATTTTTGTCCATAACTTCTGTTTTCTGCTTTGTCTTACTGCAGACCGCCATGCTGGTTGCTAGGAAGGATTTGGTCACGAGTGTGAGTTTCCATCTTAGGATGGGTTTCGTGGTGAGGGATTTGTATTACTCTTGTTCTGATATTTTGTTGTGACTTATATGAACAAACTGACAGTTGCCTCCCAGCTCATGTGTTTCCCATTTCCTCTCTCTTGCTTCTCATCATTTTTTTTTCTTCTAAGGCATGAAAGATGAAGCCAATTATTTTGGCTTTTCTCTGCCGAAGGAGAAAAAAAGTATTAACCAATCACAAGGATTATGTTGTGCAGCCTGTTTGTGACTAGTACTGAATTATCAGTACATTTAAATATAAAACACTTTAGACCCATTCTTACTTAATTATGCACAATTGATCATGATTTATTGTTTCTTTCTTATTTATTAGAATTACTTTATTAGGATATATTGTACAGGGGGATTTCATTGTGACATTTGCATATATGCTTAAAATGTATCTTAATTAGATTTTGTCCCCTCCATCATTCTCCCCATCCTTCCTTCTCTCCTCTTTACAACAACTTTAACAGGTTTCATGTTTTATTTTTATGCACTTATACAAAGTACATTGGCCATATTCACCCTCCTTAACTCCCTCCTTTTACCCTTTCCCTCCCCTGATAACCACTTCTTGGACAGAATCTGTCTTACCTTCCTGTCCTCATTTTTTTAGTGCATATTGACTATCGAAGGGGGCAGGGGTTGCCTTGGTATTTCACCTCACACATATTATTTATCATATTCAATCAAAATTAAACTCCCTCTATTACTTACTCTTTTTCTATTGCCATGCTTACAGTGAATTTGTTTATACTGTCTTTATACACAAATACAATGCATTCAATATTTTCACTCTTCTACCTCATTTTCATTTCCACTCCCACTCCCCATAGTCCCCTCAGACAGACCCACTTGACCTACTGTTACATCACACAGTCATATTCTCTCTCTCTTTCTCGTCTTCTCATTAATGACTTTACCCATTAAAGGAATTTCCAAAATGAAACAATCATGAGTATCTTTAGAATATTCCCACATACTTAGGAAGTTTTCTGGGTTCCGTATGTTTGCCCTTCCCTTTATGTGGTCACTTAGAGATAATCAGTAATTCACATGGATCCCTTTTAAAACAAACCTGTTGCTCTAATGACTCTTGACGTACTGTGTGGATGTAAGTATAGATTTAACAACTTGCTTGTCAGAGCTGAGCTTCCCAGATGCTCCAGAATTTAAATGTAGCCTAATAATTCTCTAATGATTTATCACTGATATTTCAATTTCGTTAGAAAAAGGTAGTTGGAAGAGGGAAAGAGGATAATTATGCTGTAGCCCAGTAAAGTCTTTTTCTTCCTTGGGTAAGAAATAAGCAAAAGTGTTGTAAGGAGTGTAGATCATCAGAAAGAAGAGCAATAACTACCTTTTGAGCAACATAAAAATTCTGGAAAATATAAAAAAAGTACAAAGAGAAGAGTAAAAGTTCATAATATCAATACCCTGAGAAAGATTTCATTAATATTTTGTTTGTATTTTCAACTGCACAATATTTATTTGCCTATATAAATATTTCTTTGCATATTTTAATAGTATAATTATTAATTTAATTTTTATAACACCATCTTTATTAGTTTTCTGAGCTTAGATAAAAAGATCTTCGTTTAGTGATTCAAATCTTTAGTTGTTTAATCTTTTATAATAATATTTTTCCTTTAACTTCATCACCAGCTTTGACTGGCTTCTCTTTCGTTAGAAATGAAGAATACATATATTCCATAAATTACATTATTTACTGCTGTCAATAAAACTTTTAGTGCTGTTAACCTAATTTAAGACGCATAGCATTAGTCGTTATTATATATAAGCCTCAAATTTCTTAATTTATCTTATCATCTAAAAAAGCAAGATTTAGGTTATTAATTCCTTACTATCATTATTCCCTCATAAGTGTTATGAAGAATAGATGAGTTATCTATGCACAGTGTACTCTACCTGTCTTTCCACTCAGAAATGTCAGGGGACTATCTTTATTTTTGGTATAGAATTATAATACCTGTTTGCTGACCCTTACAACTATATCCTTTGTATACCTATTCTTTCTTCCCCACAAAAGCTTTCTTATACATGAATTATATCTTGACATTATATAAAATTTACATATTGCTATCCAGTAACATTAATTGTGGACACATGTTTAGACTGAAAATTAAAGAACATGAGAAAGTTTGTATTATAACTCCTGTCAAAATTAATAAGTTGCTACAAGCATAAATAGAAAGAAGATCGGAAACATCTTACACATGAAACGAAACTAAAATCATAGAATCAGAAAAGACTTACATATCAATTTATTGTTATGTATCCTTTCCTTTTTCTTTTCATTAAATATTCTGTCCTCAAGAAGTGATATGAACGCATGGACAATGAGTCAAAAACATCTAATTAGATGGCAGTTCCGTTTCTCCATAATATGTGTAACATCTGGCCTCAGATTTCTAATTTATGACTTACATAAGACTTAAATCTAATGGAAAAGAATTGACACATAATAAAACTAAATAAACATTGGTTATCTTCCCAAACTATCTTTTGGTATTTCAATGCCAAAAAACCTCGGAAAAAACAAAATGAGTGTACTATATGTTTGAATAGTTATATCGCTTGAAATAAAAAGCATTTTTACATTTGGTATTTATATTAACCCTGATATGTAGTTCAATTGGGCCTTGCCTTTTATAGACGTCACATAGTAAAATTCACTAACTAGGGGCTCATAATAAAAATATATACTGTAAATAAAATTAATCTATTCAGTTTATAAATCAAGTTGGGGTTAAAACTTCTTTTATACTTTTGTACTCCACTGAAGGTTGTTAAACGCAGAAAATTCAGAGGAACTGATTCTGCATTATATTGGAGTCTGCTTACATCAAATCTCCAGCTTCTCAATTCCTTCACATCCTGGTTATCTCTTCTTATGAAGCGGGCGGTGGGAGTCCTACTTTATTGTCTATGGATACCTCCAAATCGAATCTCATGCAACAGACTCCATTCTCGCTTCGTACCCTCTCGTAGTCGCTGACATCCGTTTTTATTCATCTCACGAATGGAAGGATTGTAGAAGCTAGGACTGTTCTAGCAGTCATTGTCGCCTTGATCTTGTACAAAATTGAGTCATGGTTGAATCCTAATGCAAGAGAAGATGGATCCCAGTAGCTGATGTGTCTATGAGAAAGTGAGATGGCCTTTACGGAAACATTCTTCATTCTCACCACATAATTAACGTGCCATAGAGAAGAATTCTGAATTCAAACACTGTAAACAATATGATTCGTTTCTTCTGTTTATTTAATTTGTCTGCTGAATTTTATTTCTTGCAGTAATATTGCAATGAATCTCTTTTGTCTGATGATCCTGATTCATATGTGACATTGACATTGTCCGTCTCCAGAGAAAAGAAGCGATCCAACTCATTGGACTGATAATTAGGAAGCCAAGGATTGATCTTAGTCCCTTGAATGGACACTGCATTTTTTGCATGAGGTATAACGTCAAGCGATCAGGCACAGATTCCTGCACATTTTCTTTATTTGCATTGACTTTTTGCATGTATTGCTTATAAATTTATATGATACTGTTAGTGTGTCTGGAAATTTTTGTAAATGCCTATGCATTAGGGGGAATATCACAAACATAACACACACACACACACACACACACACACAAAACACGCAAAACTTTATATCTAAATAATCAGATTATTTAATTCAGACCTACTTCTGTTTCACTATCAAAACTCCTTTCTTAAAACAATGTTCACTCTCCTGACTTGAGGGCAGTCAGTTAGACAAACCAATATCTGGGTTCATTCCAGCCACCCTATTGTATTCCTTACATATGTTTTGCGTCCAATTCCCTTTTAAATGTGCTTCTGGGCCGGCTAACCCACTCAGAATTGATGTTCTCCAATTCCATCCATTTACCAGCGAATGATAACATTTCGTTCTTCTTCATGGCTGCATAAAATTCCATTGTGTATAGATACCACATTTTCTTAATCCATTCGTCAGTGTGGGCATCTTGGCTGTTTCCATAACTTGGCTATTGTGAATAGTGCCGCAATAAACATGGTGTGCAGGTGCCTCTGGAGTAATCACAGTCTTTTGGGTATATCCCCAAGAGTGGTATTGCTGGATCAAATGGTAGATCGATGTCCAGCTTTTTAAGTAGCCTCCAAATTTTTTCCAGAGTGGTTGTACTAGTCTACATTCCCACCAACAGTGTAAGAGGTTCCTTTTTCCCCGCATCCTCGCCAACACCTGTTGTTGTGTGTTGCTGATGATGGCTATTCTAACAGGGGTGAGGTGGAATCTTAGTGTGGTTTTAATTTGCATTTCCTTTATTGCTAGAGATGGTGAGCATTTTTTCATGTGTTTTTTGGCCATTTGAATTTCTTCTTTTGAGAAAGTTCTGTTTAGTTCACTGCCCATTTCTTTATTGGTTCATTAGTTTTGGGAGAATTTAGTTTTTTAAGTTCCCTATATATTCTGGTTATCAGTCCTTTGTCTGATGTATAGTTGGCAAATATTTTCTCCCACTCTGTGGGTGTTCTCTTCAGTTTAGAGACCATTTCTTTTGATGAACAGAAGCTTTTTAGTTTTATGAGGTCCCATTTATCTATGCTATCTCTTAGTTGCTGTGCTGCTGGGTTCCATTGAGAAATTCTTACCTATACCTACTAACTCCAGAGTATTTCCTACTCTTTCCTGTATCAACTTTAGAGTTTGGGTCTGATATTAAGATCCTTGATCCATTTTGAGTTAATATTGGTATAGGGTGATATACATGGATCTAGTTTCAGTTTTTTGCAGACTGCTAACCAGTTTTCCCAGCATTTTGTTGAAGAGGCTGCTATTTCTCCATCGTATATTTTTAGCTCCTTTGTCAAAGACAAGTTGATTATAGTTTTGTGGCTTCATATCTGGGTCCTCTACTCTGTTCCACTGGTCTTCATGTCTGTTTTTGTGCCAGTGCCTGTTTTTTTATTATTGCTTTGTAATATAGTTTGAAGTCAGGTATTGTGATACCTCCAGCATTGTTCTTTTGACTGAGTATTGCCTTGGCTATTCATGGCCTCTTGTGTTTCCATATAAATTTCACAGTAGATTTTTCAATCTCTTTAATGAATGTCATTGGAATTTTGATGGAATTGCATTAAACATGTAGATTACTTTGGGAGTATGACATTTTTACTATGTTGACTCTACCAATCCATGAGCATGGGAGATCTCTCCACTTTCTATAGTCTTCCTCAATCTCTTTCTTCAGAAGCTTATAGTTTTCCTTGTAGAGGTCGTTCAAATCCTCTGTTAGGTTTACACCTAGGTATTTGATTTTTTTGAGGCTATTGTAAATGGAATTGTTTTCATATATTCTTTTTCACTTTGCTCATTATTAGTGTATAGAAATGCTAATGATTTTTCTATGTTGATTTTATATCCTGCTACCTTGCTATAGCTATTGATGATGTCTAGAAGCTTCTGAGTAGAGTTTTTGGGTCTTTAAGGTATAGGATCATGTCGTCTGCAAATAGGATATTTTGACAGTTTCTTTACCTATTTGTATTCCTTTTATTCCTTCTTCTTGCCTAATTGCTCTGGCTAGGAATTCCAGTACTATGTTGAATAGGAGTGAGATAGTGGGCATCCTTGTCTGGTTCCTGATTTTAGAGGAATGTTTCATTTTTCTCCATTAAGTATAATGCTGGCTGTAGGTTTGTCATATATAGCTTTTATAATGTTGAGGAACTTTCCTTCTATTCCTAGTTTTCTTAGAGCTTTTATCATGAAATGTGTTGGATCTTATCAAAGGCTTTTTCTGCATCTATTGAGATGATCAAGTTTTTTGTCTTTGCTTCTGTTAATGTGGTTTATTACGTTTATTGATTTTCGTATGTTGAACCACCCCTGCATCCCTGGGATGAAGCCTACTTGGTCGTGAATAATCTTTTTGATGTGTTGTGAATTCGTTTGCCATTATTTTGTTGAGGATTTTTGCATCAATGTTCATTAAGGAGATTGGCCTATAGTTCTCCTTTTTGGAGGTGTCTTTGCCTGGTTTTGGGATAAGTGTAATACTGGCTTCATAAAATGTGTTAGGCAGTTTTCCTTCCCTTTCTATTTCATGGAACAGTTAAGGGTTGGTATCAGTTCTTCTTTAAAGGTCTGATAGAATTCAGCAGAGAATCCATCAGGTCCTGGACTTTCTTTTTGGGAGACTCTTGATTGCTGCTTCAATTTCATTTTTGTTATATCTATTCAGGTGATTAATTTCCTCTTGGTTCAGTTTTGGATGATCATATGTATCTAGAAATCTGTCCATTTCTTTAAGATTTTCAAATTTATTTGAATATAGGTTCTCAAAGTAGTCTCTGATGATTTCCTGGACTTCCATGGTGTTTGTTGTTATCTCCCCTTTTGCATTCCTGATTCTACTAATTTGGGTTTTTTCTCTCCTCATTTTAGTCAGGTTTGCCAGGGTCTATCGATCTTGTTATTTTTTCAAAGAACCAACTTTTTGTTTCATTAATTCTTTGTATGGTTTTTTTGGTTTCTATTTCGTTGATTTCAGCTCTTATTTTTATTATTTCTCTTTCTTTGTTTTGGGATTTGCTTGTTCTTGTTTTTCTAGGAGTTTGAGATGTATCATTAGGTCATTGATTTGGGATCTTTCAGTCTTTTTAATATATGCACTCATGGCTATAAACTTTCCTCTCAGACTGCCTTAGCTGTGTCCCATAGGTTCGGTAGGTTTGTTTTCATTTTCATTGACTTAGGAACTTTTTAATTTCCTCTTTTATTTCATCGATGATCCATTTCATTAAGTAATGAGTTATTTAGTTTCCAGCTGTTTGCATGTTTTTTGTCTTTACTTTTGTTGTTGAGTTCTACTTTTACTGCATTGGATCAGATAGTATGCATGGTATAATTTCTATTTTCTTATATTTGCTGAGGCTTGCTTTGTGCCCTAGGATATGATCTATTTTGGAGAAGGTTCCATGGCTGCTGAAAGAATGTATATTGTGTAGAAGTTGATGAAATGTTCTGTAGACATCAGTAGGTCCATTTATCTATTGTATATTTTAGATCTTGGATTTCTTTATTGATTTTTTTTTGGATGACCTATCTATTGATGATAATGGGTGTTAAGTCTCCCACAACCACTGTGTTGGGTTAAATATGCTTACACTGTACTTTTCCATACTAAACAAAATCTACTGAAGTAAAAAATGTTTGCAATGTTTTCACTCAATATTTGATTGTTAACAACCTTTCTTCTTAGCACCTTTGTTTCATACAGGATTTTATATTTTAGATTTCTACCTGTCGTCTGCAATTCAATTTTCTGTCCAGTTCCATTCTCGTTTATTTCCCCTATCCAGATGTTTAGACACTGTGATACGTACTTCTTTCACCTTGATGATACAAATGATCATTTCAGCTATTTTACTTCTTTATACTTGTGTTCTTTTTTAAGACTGAAAATTGCCACTCAATTTGAAAAAAGATAAAGATTTTTATAGCTAAGCTAGACGTTAATTCATCAATTTTAACCATTACTTTAGGAAATTCTTAATTTACTCACATTTGTTTGCATTGCAAAATGAGTGATAACAGTGCTTAAACCTAGCCAAGACTTATATAAAAATAAGTTTTCGTGAATTGTCTTAATAGCTACATTTAGTATTTAATGAAATAACAGGTTCTTGTTATCAACTTCTCTGTAGTAAGAATCAAACTCTTTTTCTCACTTGTTCACTTATAAAGTTAATACTTTTGAGTTCAAAAGCTGGTTAAAATAATTTATCTATGTTTTCTTGAAAGCAAACCTATAGTGATATTTCTGAATTATGCTGTATGCCAGTGGTTTGAACATAGTAATAAGGATCAAAAATGTAAGGGAAAAATTCTGAATCAAAATAAAATTTTGAAACAATCTTGAATGAATCTTAAAGGCCTTTGTGCATTTAAGTTTAAACTTGTATTAAGTGCATTGTTAATTTCTCAATAAAGAAATTTTGAGTCTTTCCCCGATGATAACTTCCCCAATAACCTTTTATCCCGAAACATTTATAAGTATTTTTTGTAAAAAGTGTCCCAAAAATATTGACTGGGAATTACCATTCTAATCACCCTTTCCCCATATGACTAGCTGTAAAGTTTTTCTGAGAAGCAGAGATTATGTGACATGAAAAGATGCCTTATAAAAAATGAAGGGCAATATAAATGTATAAAATCTTGTATAGTAATTATGAGCGTGGACATCCCAATCATTAATCACATTTCTGATTTGTAAATTACCACTCACGAAAAACTTATTTGTATCCTCACTATTCAATTACTCCTGTAGTTTCATCTCTTTACATACCTACCAAACCCATGCTGAAAAAATTAATTTGTAATTTGTATGTGTTCGTAAGTTTACTGGTTTAAAATGGCCCCCTGTGCTTAGTGCGGAAATTCTAGTGTTTCTAATTACAGAAGGATGTGTGTGCTATAATAGAATATACTCATGTGATGTAGATATAAATTCCATCAGTGTGAGTTCAACGCTTATTTAACATGAAAAATGTGTTTATTGTGACCATGAAAGATCCTATAAATAAATGAAGGGCAATATAAATGTATAAAATCTAGTAGAGTTTTATGATTCGTGGTACATGCAATCATTAATCACAATTCTGCATTTGTAAATTAACCTACTCACTAAAACTTATTTGTATCTCACTAGTCAATACTCCTGGTAGTTTCATCGTCCTTTACATACCTACAAACCATGCTGAAAAATTTAATTTGTATATTTTGTGTGTTGGTAAGTTTACTGTTTAAAATGGCCCCTGTGTGTAGTGCTGAAATCTAGTGTTTCTAAGTACAGAAGGGATGTGTTGTGCTATAAGTAGAAAATACTATGTGTATGTTAGATAAATTCCATTCAAGTGTGAGTTTCAACGCTTATTTAACATGAAAAATGTGTAAGAATGACTCAGAGTTTTTGCTAATATGCATATGTTGCAAATGACCATAAAATTGTCTGAGTATTGGTTTTGGGGTTGCAAATACATTTTCTTAGTAAGCAAATTTCATAAGTAGGCGAGTCCGCAATTGAAAAGGAGAAACAGGACAAAGGAGAAGGTCAGAGTGGATAAATTCAACTGTGATATGTTGTAAGAACTTTTGTAAATGTCACACTGTACCCCCAGTACAACAATGCCATGTTTATAAAAAATAAATTAAAAAGCCATATATAAAATCAGTAACAACTCAGACAATTTACTGTATAGACAAATAAGTATGTACAGGAATGTTCATGGCAAAAAACAACAAATGCAGATGAGCATGGGGAAAGAAACCAGTATACACGTTGGTGGGGATACAAATTATTTCAGCCACTATGGAAATCAATATGGCAGATCATCAAACATCTAAAATAGAACTATCATACAATCCAGCTATACTGTATCTTGGAATATATCCAAGGGAATCAAGGTCAGCATACAATACAATAATGTTTATTGCCATACTAGTCATGAGAGCTAAGTCATGGAGTCAGTCTATCAATGGATGAGTAGCTAAAGAAAATTGTATGTATACATAATGAAGTATTATTCAGCCGTAGAGATGCACAAGATTATGTTGTTTGCAGGGAAATGGATGTTAAGAGGGACTGCTTGGGAAGAAAAAGGGAACCAGAAGAAGGGGATAAAAGGAAAAAGAAGAAAAGGGGGGGGTGACTATGATCAAAATACGTAATGCACATATGTGAAAATGTCATAATAAACCCCATTACTTTGTACAATTAATATACAATAGGAAAGAATGTTTACTTGTAATAGTAAATAACCATTGTTAGATAAATGTTGCAAATATATATAGCCAAACAATGGCATTTCCACAGCACCACAGGATAAGTTAAATCTACGTATGGAAATATGGATAACTTCAACAGTATATATTGAAAGAAATAATCAAGAACCAGACCAATGCATTTTAGAGAATGACAGAATGGGAAGAGCTTTATAAATGTGATTGAAATGAAATGAACAGATAGAGGAGTCAAAAGAATAAACAAAAAAAATGCCATGTGTTGTCCAATGGAGACAGTGCTAAAGACAGGGGTAAGATCAATGTAATCAATGCTCCTGAGATCCAAGCAAAAAAATTAATGAGATGTACAATCAATAACATTGCTATGATTTAGCAGTAAGGAGAAAAATGCACAATGGAAAAAAGGTATAAAATAGCTAGGAAAGTATTCAGCGAGAACAATGGGACTTGCATTAAAACAAAGAAAAGCAAAATCTTAAATTTGAAGGCTAAAGAAAACTTAAACTTATAGACAAAAATACCAGGTTCCTGGATGGAAATGAAACTGTAAATTTTCTTATGAATTAGGCTTTCCAATTTCTGCCTTCAGATACTTTGTAACTAGGAAGAGGCCAGTACTAACAACACTGGAGAACACACTATGAGCAGAATGTCCAATGGTGATAAACAGCAACAGGCATATCAGGACTGTCAGTTGCCACTATAACTGTGATACAAGGTCATTAATATTTTGTTTTTTTTCTTTGAATGGTGTTAACTGCCCTTTTTAAGTATTTTTTTTCCTTATGATGTGCTCATTTAGCTCTCTAAAAATTGGATATTCAATGGTGGAAATTTCTCAGTAAATTTAAGAGTTGTGTTAAAATTTTCTTTCCATTTTTTGAATTAAGAAAATTTAATTTATAGTTAGAGCTCATCTTATATAGTAATTCTTCATAGATATAAAACATTATTTTAGGTGACAAAATGGCATACTTTAAAAATGCTTATGGATACAACATTATTCCGTTAATAAGAACATTCAACTTTGGATAATCTGAAAATTTTACTGTTCATCTTGCTTGATAACAGACTGAGTCCCAGAAAACCATCATGTTACACACACTTAAAGACACCTTGTTGGAGGAGGACAGGCATTTCACCATTCAGCTGATACCAGTTGATGAGGTAGAAATATCTCCAGTAAAAGGTAAGAGAAATTCTTAGCATTTTTGGAAATTAAAAAGTGGATTCTTAGAAAAAATGTAATCTTATAATCAATAGTTACAAAGATAGGCAATGTTAGGTTTTATAATTTCTAAAATGTTTGCCAAAGTATGGTGCCATTTTCCACCTTTATTACAGATAAAGAATTTTTAAAATTAAAATTGTAATACCCATTGTTGGTATTGTCATAGGTTAAAGATTTCCCATGTTTAACTTTGCTTTTTTTTAAAAGTGAAGCTATTCATTGCAGCAATGTTTATAAAATAAAGTATGGCAGCTTCCTAAGTGGTCCAACAGTAGGACATTGGGTTCAGTTTAACAGATACTATGCAATATGCAAAATGATGCTGCAGAAAACCCTTAATGACATTACAAATTAAGAACACTTAATTGTATGGATAATTGCCATGTTAATAAGATAGACTTCACAACATCATGCTCAATAGAATCTCATTTTTGTCATGTGCATGTCTTACATGAGTTTGAAATTACAGTTTTTGATTATATTAAAAAATATTTACAGTACATATTAATTAGTAATAAAGCATAATTTTAAAACTTAACATTATTATGTTTGATATTATAGCCTATACTTGTTTTTATCCTTTTTGCCTAAATATTTTATCTATATAGTTAGATATTTTATGTATTTACCTAGATATTTTGACCTTTTAGAAACAGGCATCATAATTTTGATTGGATACGTGAAGTTTTTCTTCTTGGATCTGAAGAGAAAAGTTTAATGGTTCTAATATTGTTGCATTATTGTATAAATAATAATAATAATAATGATAATGCATCAGAAACTTTTTAAAAAGAAAGCTTGGTTGTTATTACATGTCTTTTGGTGCCATCAAAACTTCATCCTACATAAGGTCTGTGACTAAAAGCAGATTCTATGGCCAAAAAAATTCTCAAAATTTTAGAGTTTCAACGTATGTACATAGTGAGGTTATTCTTCCTACATTTTATTCTGTTTTGTTTTGTTATTTTGTTGTATGAAGTATTGGGGATTGAATTTAGAGCCTCGTACTTGTTAGGCACACCACAATTCCTTTTTTTCAGTTTGTTTTTCAGCTGTGGTCTCACTCTTTTGTCCAGACCAGGCTTGGACTGCAATCCTCCTCCCTCTGCCTCCCAAGTAGCTGAGATTAGAGGTGTGTGCCACCAATCCCAGTCTTATTCCTGCATTTTAATCCAGAATTCTTTCCAACAAGCCAGTCAATAAATCATATCATTGTACTATGTCAGTCATATCATATCATATCATATCATTCTGTAAATCTTAAATTAGGACAGTTAGCTACATTGTGTTAAAATGACAGGGTTGATGCCACGTAGGATAACTAGAAACAAAAATAAGAATATATCAGTGGATTATGGGGAATCCTTTACCAATATAAATAAATTCTTAACATATTTCTAACTGACATTCTTGCACATGACAAACCACTCTTGGTTTCATTGATTTTTTTGCCAAAGAATGTGAGAGTAAAATAATCCAGCTCTTTTGCTTATGAAACCTTAATGTGTGCTTCTGGAAAATTTTTTCTTCAAATTATTTCTAAATTATAATTTGAATACTAACATTATTTGATATACTTTTAATTTCCATTTTTGTAGCAGTGTCTGAGACAACTTTAGAAATGCTTGTAGTCAAATGGTAGCCAGAAAATTAAAATAAAAATGATGTTCCCCCAAATTTTTGCTTTTGCTACATAGCCAGTTGATACAGCCACACAGCCAATTGCAATGAGATGTAAAATGTTTACTGTAGAAGTGAATTCATGAAATGGTTATCATGCAGTGTAGTAAAATTATTTCCCATCTTTAGTGCCTTTCTTAGTGTGTGATCCTGGGTGCATTTTCAGTGTTTTCAGTGCCCGTGTGTGCTTCATTATCCTCACAGGGAAAATGAGGAAGGGTAGTAGAGCCCAACTTCTATGATTGTCAATTGAATTAACTAGGTTAGTATATGTGCAAATAGATGATTGCTTCGAAGTGGTCTTTATCATTTTCAACTTAGGTAGTGCGTCAATAATCATTCGGGGAGATAGGGGAGCATCAGGAGAAGTTGGGATTGCACTATCATCTAGACACGTCCTCATTGGGGAGCCCTCGGCAACCTATAATGGTACCGCTGTCATCAGGTAAGGGCTTTGTAAGTCATCTTTGTCTGTATGGAGGTTATGAAACTTTAATAAGTGATTAGCCTTATTACATCATTCTCAATACATGCATAGTGTTCAAGCAGTATCAGTTTCCATATTGGTAACATCAAATGGAAAATAGAACAAACTTTAGGCAGAACTTGAAAATATATGCTGTCCTAGCTTGTTAGATCATCAGTTGGTTTTTGGACTTGTAGGTGATTTGTACAACCTACACCAAGGAAAGCATAGAGGTGAGATCAGAAGATCTATGCTCTCAGCCCTGTTTTGTCATTAAACATGTACTATAAAGAGTTACTTCATCTCTAAGTTTGTGTGTCTAGCTACAAAAATTTTCCTTAGAAAATCACCATAATCAAAATGTTTTGATTCTAAGTGTTCTAAAATCAGAGCCTGTCAAATAACTAAATTAATTTGATCATGAGTGAGTTTGTTTCTTTCACATTTTCTTTTTTCCTTTTTTTGTCTTTTTGAAATCTTGCTATGTAGCCTAGGTTGGCCTTGAACTCTTGAGCCTCCTGCCTCCACCTCCGTGGTGTGGGGATTACAGGTATGCACCAACACACCTAGCCTCTCCTACCTTTTTTATTTTTTTCATTTTTATTTATTTATTTATTTTTATTATTCATATGTGCATACAATGCTTGGGTCATTTCTCCCCCCTGCCCCCACCCCCTCCCACTCCCCCCACCCTTCAATACCCAGCAGAAACTATTTTGCCCTTATCTCTAATTTTGTTGAAGAGAGAGTATAAGCAATAATAGGAAGGAACAAGGGTTTTTGCTAGTTGAGATAAAGATAGCTATACAGGGAGTTGACTCACATTGATTTCCTCTGCATATGTGTTATCTTCTAGGTTAATTCTTGATCTAACCTTTTCTCTAGTTCCTGGTCCCCTTCTCTTATTGGCCTCAGTTGCTTTTAAGGTATCTGCTTTAGTTTCTCTGCATTGAGGCAACAAATGCTAACTAATTCCTACATTTTTTAATAAGGAATGGGACAACCATCAAGTAAGTAGATGAATTTGGTTTAATATTTTATTCATTCATAGTTATCCAAAGTTAATAAAGTAACTTTAAAAAATTTTTATTTTAAACAATTAAATTTAAATCTTTAAATAGTGAAGTTAAGAGTTTGGTAATTATTTCAAAGGAAAATTTACCCTTTTTCATTTAAATGCTCATGCATGAAGTGATAACTTCTTTTATGTATCTGTTTATTTTGGGGGGTGTTGGTGGTTACTGGCATTTGAACTCAGGGCTTTACACTTGTTAGACAGGAGCCATGCCTCCAGCCCTTTTTGCTCTGGTTATTTTGGAGATAGGGTCTTGCTTTTTGCCAAGCCCAGACTGGACCATGATCCTTTTATTTTATACTTCCTGCTTTAGCTAGAATGACATGTGTGCCACCATGTCTAATTTTTTCCCCCCATTTAGATAGGGTCTTGAAAAAGTATTTTTTTTCTTTTTGCCCAGGGTGGTCTGGAACTGTGACTCCATCTCAGCCTCCTGCATAGCTTGGGATGACAGGTGCATGCCACTGTGTCCAGCTATTGGTTGAGATTGGGTTTCATGAACTATTTGTCCAGGCTGACCTCAAACCACAATTCTTCCAAGTAGCCATGATTTTAGGCATGAGCCATTGTCTGGCTGGTTAACTGTTGTTTAGAGAGCTTGGTTAGGTGCTTCACATTTTATATTTGTATATTAAGTAAAAATATATGAAAGTATCTTTTTATTCCTTTAAGCCTTCCACTTTTAGTGTTCAGGTTTTTTGGGGTTTTTTTTTTGCCAGTATTCTTATCATGATAGATTTATACTAACTTGATTCTTGAGGTGTTACTTTGAACTCGAAGACATTCTTACGATTTATAGTTTATTGATGAGATCATTTAAAAGCATAATATCCTTGAAATCAATGAAAATTGGTTACTGAAGACAGCAAATATTTAGGAAAAGTGCCATCAGTAAAAATGCAGTGAATATGCATTTGTATATTGCTCTAGCCTTGTTCGTGGCCCTGGGGTTTTGGAGGAGGTCACAGTGTTCTGGAAGATATTCCCTCCTTCCATGGGGGAGTTTGTTGAATCATCAGGAAGGCTGACAATGTGGGATGGACAGTCTGAGGCCATTGTAGCAATACAGGTATCCATGTTGCTGGCTTCTATTAACAACTTTGCTCTGTGTGCATGAGAGAGTGATTGTGTGTGGGGGGGTGGGGGGGCTTGGGTTGGTTGGGGAGGAGGTTAATATTATAGAATCTGTGGCTGTTGTTCATGGCTAGTCATTTTTCTTTAAATTTTACAGATTCTACTGTTCATGATGCTCTTTGTCCCTCTCCAGGCTTTGAATGATGACATTCCCGAAGAACGGTGTTCCTACGAGTTTCGGCTCACTGGAATCAGTGAGGGAGGAGTGATAAGTGACGCCAGCAACACTGCCAACATCACCATGGTGGCGAGTGATTCTCCCCATGGTCGATTTGCATTTTTACATGAGCGACTTTGCGTGTTGGAAGAAGCACAGAGGGTATGGTGTGAAGTGCTCTACATCTTGGTATAATTTTTGATGTTGTGAGTGACCATTAAAATGTGTTTCCTTGTTCCTATTTTAAAGTTTTTCATAAGTGGATTAGTTTCCTCCTAATCTCACTTTAACATATTTTATATAATTTTTAATTTATATCATTTAATTTAATTTTATATCATGTTTTTGGTGATATGGCTTTTGAGCTCAGACCCCGTGCTTGCCAGGTAGGTGCTCTACCACTTGAGTGATGCACCCCAACACTTTTTATTGTGTTTCTTTGAATAGAATTTCGTTTTTATGCCTAGTGGGTGTGGACTGCAATCCATCTATTTATGCTTCCTGAATAGCTAGGATGACAGGCGTGCACTGCCACTGCACCTCACTTTTATTGTTTGAGATGGGGTCTTGCAAATCACTTACCTGGGCTGGCCTGAACCCATGATCCTCCTGATTTCTGCCTCCTGAGTAGCTAGGATTATAGGCATGAGACACCATGCCTGACTATAAATTTATTTTTAATTTCAACATAATCCTACTAAATAGAACCTTCAGTTATAAATAATGTTGTCTGGCAGATTAAACATCCAAATCATCAGAAAATGCTTTTTCAAATAGGTAAATATCACAGTTATCCGTTCAGGTGGATATTTCGGCCTGGTGAGACTTTGGTATGAGACTGTGGCCAGGACAGCAGAAGCAGGCTTGGATTTTGTTCCTGTGGCAGGGGAGCTCATCTTCGAAGCTAGGAAGATGGTGAAAAGCCTGTATGTTGAAATTCTTGATGACGACCATCCTGAAGGCCCTGAGGAATTTTCTCTAGCAATTACAAAGGTGGAACTCCAGGGAAGGTAAGGGACAGGAAATTAGAAGAAAAATAAGGGAAGAGGAAGGGAGGGAAAGACAGCAGGAGGCAGAGGAAGAGAGAAAAGAAGAGAGAGATCCTTTGTGTGGATTCATGCAACAGGGTGGCCAGGGAATTGAGCACGACATGAACATCTTATGATTGGGCAAGGAAATAGCCTAACTGTTCTCTATGTCAAAGGTCAGCTGAGGTAGCAGAATTTGTTTTCACAGGTATAGACCTGTGAAAGGCCTAGAGCAAAGCACGTCTTTCCTTGGTACATTGAAGACTGTAATATTGAAGACTGTATTGTTTCCTCTGGGGATGGATGAGGCACATGCTTGCATAATAATAGTTTTAAAGTGAGGGAAAATTTGACTTGATAATAGTCGGCTGTTAATGTGCACCATGTTTTTCAGTGAAGACCAAAAATTAAACCATAGTGAATCTTTCATTCCCTGATTTAGTGGGCAGACTTGATGGCCAGGGTGGAAAACACCCTTAGCACACTGAGCTCCTCCTGGTCGAGCAGCCCACATGTGGAGCTGTCCCACAGCACCTCTCCCAGGTGGCTTACACATAAATAATGCTTGCATTTATAGAAGTCTGAAAGAAATTTTTCTTGTGCATGAAATATTTTTGGATTTGTTATATAAACACCATGCTTCAAAATAATTGAGCTAAAATATTTCGCTCAGTAACTTAGTGATGTATATCATGTCAGTTTGAGAAAAAAATACTTTGAGTTCATGTATACTTCAAATCTTAAATTTCCCAGAAATGATTCTGTGTCTGGCAATGGGAATGAATTTTTACTCATATTAAATACATTAAAATGTGAATTGATCACTATTTTAATTAAATAAATGCAATTTGGTAAAAGTACCTCATTAAATGTGCGATTATATTTGGATTACCAGTTACCAGTGAACTAGGACTTGAAGATTTTTGCCTTCTTAGCTACCCTTTTGAAAACCATTTTCTACTTGAGTTTAATTCTTAGTTAGTAGCTTTCAACCTTTCAACACAAGGTATGACATGAAAACTAGATAAATAGAGTTTGGGAACTGAAAGAAGGACTACAATGGTTTAGTATCACTTTTTTAGCTTCAGGAATTAAAGTGATATAAAGGCTTGAAAGTCAAAACTTATTTGATGGGAGTATTATCAATATAAAATTCCTTTGCAGAAGTATGTCATTTCACAAGTTAACTGCTCTCCGTATCAAAGAATAGAGGCATTGATTATAATTAACTTAAAATACTTTTGTGAATCTTGGTGGCTTAGCAATGAGTGACATGGCACTCATGATTGCTTTAAAGTAACCCTCTCAGCCTCACACTGAAGCTGTCAAGCCCAGCTGGTTCACCATCTTTGAGTCTTTACACCCATTACTATAGTATGTGCTCATCCATAATTCTCAGAGGTTTGTTTTACAACAGCTTCTTCCATATTTCCTCATAGTTTTATTACCTTCACTTAACCCAAGTTTAGTAATTTTGTATTAAGTTTGGTTTCATGCTGGCACCAATAATTGAAAACCATTTTCAAAACATCATCTCATGAAAAAAGGGTATCTTAGTGTTAAGGGTCTTTAAAAGCATTACAATACTTACTAAGTAATAGGAGCTAAAAGGGCCTTTCAGTTGGTGCTAAGCAATTATGTTATTGTATAATTTTGTTGTATTTTTAATTTTTGCTTCTTATGACTTTGCAAGAGGGTATGATTTTACCATTCAAGAAAGCGGCCTTCAGATAGACCAACCTCCTGAAATAGGAAACATCTCCACTATCCTAATTATCATAATGAGAAATGATAATGCAGAAGGCATCATTGAGTTTGACCCAAAGTATACAGCCCTTGAAGGTAGGTTCTGTTAGCTTACTTACAAGTTCACAACATTTTCTGAATTATAGAGTACCTGTTCCTGACATTTAATCTGAATTTGCATATGTAAAATTTCCTGATTTTGTGTGTATGTATGTGTGTATACATATGTGTTTGTATATTTACTTTTGAGGTGAGGCAGTACTGGGGTTTGAATACAGGGTCTTGTGTTTGCTAGGCAGATGCTGCATCACTTGTCCTTTTTGCCAGAGTTATTTTCTTAGATAGGGTCTCACACTTTTTGATGGGCCATTCTCAGACTGTGGTCCTCCTACCTATGCCTCAATTGTAGCTGGAATTATAGCCATGCACCACTACACCTGACTTGTTTGTTGAGGTAGGATTTGCTAACTTTTGGCTAGGGCTGGCCTTGGACCACAGTCCTCTCAATCTGCTGCCTTCTGAGTAGCTGTGATTACAAGCATGAGCCATGGCTCCTGGCCTATTTGCTTATTTTCAAAAGACATTTTCATTACCTTTAGGTAGTCTTGGACCTTTTTTATACGGCAAAGCCAATATAGAAAAATAATGTTTAACGTTAGGGTTATTAAAATCTTTCTGTTTCAACCATTTTTATGAAAACCTTTCTAGTTTATGTAACATTTAATTTCCTATGTGAATACAAATTAACGAATATTCTTTTTTTAGTTGAATAAACACTTTTGAAATGAGTATTTTACTGGTCTGCAGATACAAGTAGTATCTGGATCCTTATCTTGCTTTCACAAAATTGTTCCTAATAGTAGAGTAGCTAGCCTGATGTTGGCAAATCTCTTCTCTCATGGAAGCACAATGCAGAATACATGGTTGGATTCGTTTCTGGGTAGAAAACGATGGCTGCCATTCTAGGAAGGAAATTATTTCATTCAAAGGCAAAATATGAATATAACTTTTAAAATAAACATGCTCATGTAATTTATTTATTGACTTCATTGCCCCTATCAAGATTCTTTGGTTATCTATCCATTTTTAAAATTCATAAAAAATCTCCATAGTTTTTAATGACTTTATGGGTAAGTCATGGAAGACATTACTGTTTTGCAAACTTCAGTCTACAGTTAGTCATATTGCATTTTTGCATCAATCAATAAACAGGACTTTGATTTTTTCTGTTCATTGATTTCTTATTGATTCACATGTCTTTGGGAAATTTTAGGGTAATGCATATTTATAGTTCTAATGTAAGTTCGGTATAATTTAACCATACATATATGATCACTATTAAATGAAATCTTAATATATAGAGGTAGCATGACTCAAGAAGAAATATATTTTTGAGGAAGTTTTAAATTGAAATCAGACATTGAGAATGCATTTTCATTTTCATAAATGGATTATATAGGATAAGAAAATACAATAGGATTATTTTTACATGTAGATAAGTATTCATATAATATAAACAACATAATGCTCAGCTGTATATTATTTATATAGCAACTAAATGCATAGGAACAATCCAGAATGGTTTCCTTTTCCACATATTTTTTTGTGTTTTTTGTGTCCATCTAAGTTGTCTCAGCAAGCAAGAATCATTTATTTGTATGTAGCACACAGAGTAAGATTGCCTATACTAATGATTAAATAGGTTGTTTAAGTTCTTTTAGTACTCGCCATACCTTTCAACATCTGATAAACTATGTACTTCCTAAAACATAAGAGCTATGAAATTTTCACTAACCATTTTTAAAGTGATAAATGAACAATGGGAAAATTGAGTGCTTACTTTGTACTATAGTATTTAAATGCCTAGTTTAATTTGGCAGACTCTTTTGAAAGTTAGTCACTTTTCTGATATTCCAGTTAATTCCCAATTCCTGTTACAGTGGAGGAAGATGTTGGTATGATCACAATTCCAGTGGTGAGGCTGCATGGAACTTATGGCCGTGTGACAGCTGATTTCATCTCTCAAAGCTCTTCTGCTGTTCCTGGCGGTGTCGATTATACATTGCTTGGAAGTACAGTCACCTTTGAGCATGGGCAGAACTTAAGTTTTATAAATGTTTCCATCGTCAATGACAATGAAAGGTTGGGAGTGTAGGAAATCGTGTGTGCGTAAATAAAGCATGAATACTGTAGTGTAGCCTTTACGTGTGTTTTACACTGATAATGTGTGCCATTGAGAAACAGCAGGTGAGGCAGTTTGGGGGACATCAGGAGTAGGGAAAGAGGGGCTGGGATGCCACTGTGCTTGTGTATATCATTTCATTTCAAATAGAGGAAATAATTATGGTTCCTCCAGATTTAAAAAGCCTAATCAGAATGTGGAAGAACCTGAAGCAATTAAAGAGTGGAGGAAAGTATAATAACAGTCTTAGGTTTTGTGATATTGATGTCGATCATGCTTTTAGCTGAACACTCTCTTCTTAGCACTTGGTGTGTGACTACTGTGCCTTGAATATGTATGAACAATTTGGAAAATGACTAGTTATTTGGATTTTATAAGCAATTTAATATGTTTAGACTCACAGAATTGCTCCTTCTTGCTATGCAGTGAATTTGAGGAGTCAATTGAAATTCTACTCGTTGGAGCTACTGGTGGAGCGGTCCTTGGGCACCACCTCGTGAGCAAAATGATAATTGCCGAGAGTGACTCTCCCTTTAGCATTTTAAGATTTCTGAATCAAAGCAAAATTTCTATTCCTAACCCCAATTCCACAATGATTTTATCCTTCGTGATGGAGTGTGCTGGTGGACTCTTGGGAGATATTCAGGTAGAATTATTCTTCCTGTGCTTTTATTTTATATTTAAAAATATAGTTTTGCTCTCATGTAATGATTACAAATGACTAGGATTAATATTTTTCATATTATTAGTTTTATTCATGAAAGCTGATATTCTGTAGGCATGAAGTTTATATTATGATTTTATCAAATAGGATACTACATGTTCTGTAATAATCCTTTGCTTAAAATTAATTTTACCTATTAAAAAAACAAAAACAAAACACCCTTGCAGGTGAACTGGGAGATAGTAGGACCCAATTCTCAGGAAGCCTTACCGCCACAGAACAGAGACATTGCTGACCCAGTGAATGGATCCTTCTATTTTGGAGAGGGAGAAGGTGGAGTGAGATCCATAACTCTGACAATCTATCCTCATGAAGAAATTGAAGTTGAAGAGACTTTCATAATTCAACTTAAAATTGTGAAAGGAGAAGCTAAATTAGACTCCAGAGCTAAAGATGTTGCATTAACAGTAAGTCTGACTTTCCTTTTCCCACATGAAATTTTGAATTTGGTGGATTTATCAGAAAATGCATTTATGTTGTTTAAAATTCTACATGGTTATGTTGAATTGAAAATTATAAAACCACATGGAGTCATAATTCCTGTGGATCAAAATTTCTCATTTTTTAATGTTAGCCAGGTTATTTTAAAAGGTTTTAATATACTGAGAAAACTTATTTTTCAGTCTTTGAGGAAATTTGTTGTTTGGGGAATATTTGACACCTCTACAGAAGAGGCATTTGTTATATCATCTTAAACATAGGGTCGAAGTCATCAAAGTATACAAAAATTATTAATTAGTCATCAGTCAGGCTGATGGAAAGAAGAAAGGTACTTGTTTAGTTCACACTATGGTGTGGTATTGGATCAGATCTGAATTCTGATATGAACCAACCAGTGTACCAGAGGTGGAAAGTACTAGGAATCAAATCTTCTAAAAACAGTGCAGGGAGAGGACACATTTTAATTTTTTTTTTAATTTGGAGAATGTTGCTGTTTTTATTTGTACCTGTATCTTCTGAGTTTTCCAGAGCAAGAGAACCAAAAGAACACACACACACACACACACACACACACACACACACACACACACACACACACACACACACACAGGTCTGCCTGTAGAGAGACAGAGAGGGGGAGAAGGAGAGTGAGGGACAGAGACAGAGAGAGATTGATTTAAAGGCTCAATCCGTGGAATAGGCTGGCAGGCAGGAAGCTCAAGAGAGTTGAAGTTGTAATCCTGATCTGGAATTTCATAGGATAGGCCAGTAGGCTAGAGCTCAAGTTAAAATCCTGAGGCAGAATTCCTTCTTTGCAGGAAGCCTCAGTTTTTGCTCTTAAGTTCTTCAGTTATTAGAGGACATCCACTCACATTATTGAGGGTAATTTCCTTTATTCAGAGTCAGCCGATTGTAAATATGATCAAGTCTACAAAATACTTTCACAACATCTAGTCTAGCATTTGACCAAAAATGGGCACTATAGCCTTGTCAATATGATGCATGAAGTTAACTATCACAGGGATTTTTTTTGCCTCTGTTCACTTTATATCATAGTTAATGGAAAGAAGTTGGCTAAAATTAACTGATTAAATGTAGAAAACATAAGATGAATAATGTAAAATTCAGGCATCAAAGTACTATACTTTTTGAGTTCTATAAATTGTAGTTTTCTGCATGTTTGTTCCCATTATCTTTGCACAATAAGAACTCACATGTTTTAGACAATAGACAATATAATAAAGAAACTTTAAAAAATTCAAGGAGTTAGGTGGATTATGTTCATATCATTTCTGTGTTTTTATTTCCTCAGCTTAACGTTAATAGTTAGATTCTATAGCTCAGTCATAGACATTATTGATACGACTTACGCTGCCCTTTCTTAATGTTTTTTAGATACAAAAGTTTGGTGATCCAAATGGAGTTGTTCATTTTGCTCCTGAGTCTCTATCTAAGAAGAACTATGTGGAGCCCCTGGCTTTGGAGGGGCCTTTGGTCATCACATTCTTTGTCCAAAGAGTCAAGGGCACCTTTGGCGAGATTAAGGTGGTGTTTTCAATTGAGTTTTCTGACTGCCAGTTTCTTTAACAAATGTGGTTATGGAGGGAGGGGGGCAGAAAAACTTCATGTTCTTATTTTTGATAAACTGAAGTTATTTGCATTTTTCAGAAAAACCGAGACTTCATTTAAGCACCTTTGAGCTCTCCATCCACATCATCCCCGGGTTAGCTCTCTAAATTAAATTTGGTTACAGAGTTGAAAAGACCTTCGTCACACTGAATCATGAAGGACTGAACTACTGTGTGTTTTATTGTTTGCTATAACATGAAGCCTTCCCTACTTAAGCTTCTCAATGATTTTTGTAAATTGCTATCATCTTCAGGGCTTTACTTTTCAACAGAATTTTTCTATTTAGTAGGTGGCTTTTAAGAGTGCTAAATTTGTGTGAATATTGATGTAGACTGAGAATGTTCTTGGAAGTTCTTGTAGTATTTGGCTAACAGGTCAGGGTCATTTGTTTGTTAAAAAAAAGTGCAGGTTGTGAAGTTTCCCCATACATTCCACCTCTATTCTTGTATTTAGAAGTTAATTGTTAATTCTTTCAGATGAAACTATATGGAGTAACGAGTGGAAAATTCCCCAACTTACTTTATATGACAGGTCCCAGTCAAAACATAGGCACATTAAAAATACTGTGTGAAATTACCTTCTGATTTTGTGTATATGATATAAATGAAACAAATGAAAATTTTGAATTTGGGCTAGGGTCCCATCCCTAAGATACCTATCTCATTTTGTATATATAAACATTCCAAGGTCTGAAAAAAAAAAAATCCAAAAAACACTTTTTGTCTCAAGCAGCTCAGATAAGGGCTAATCAGTCTATATAAGATGTTACACATACCACTTTTTGTGTTTTTCATTCATATTATTTTACATGTGGAATTTATATTCACCAAACATTAAGTAATTGCTTTGAGACAATTAGACCAGCTTTTATAAATTTTAAAATATCCTTCACATAATCTTTGTTACGTTTTTTTGGTAGTGATGCTGCAGTTTGAACTCAGAGATTCATGCTTGCCTGGCAGGTGCTCTACCACTTGAGCCATGCCTCCAGTTTCATTTTGCCTTATTTTACTTTTGGAGTTGAGAGAGGGAGCAAAAATTTGCTATACATGGTTACTGAGTGTGTTCTGTATTAGGAGTTTTTAGGTTTTGGCTGTTTATTATTTTTATCACTGAATGCTTGTCTTTAATTTTTAAAATGATGCAATACGCTAGCTAGAGAATGATGATTTGATCAAAGGCAGAGGGAAAAAGAACTGAGTTGGAAGGATCTTGGAAGCGGAATTCAGTACTGTCTTCCATTCTATTCATTACCACTGCCTTACTTCAAATCACCCTTCCTACTACACTGTTGCAATAACTTTACTATCTTTTAGAGAGGGTTTTCTCCAGTAACTTTATTTTCCTTCACTCCCACAAAATAAGTTGTGAAGTTATTGCAACTGTATGGTGTGGAGGCTAGAAATGCTTGGGAAGTAATGATTAATTCTTGCTGTTTTATAGATAGCCTTTTTTTAAAATTAAAAATAAAAACAAATTATGTCAATCATCAAATTTTCTCCTTACTTTTTACCTTCAAATACTGTTTGATTCACCAATGAATATATTTGTATAATTGGAATGTTATAGTTTATTTGCTTCTCTTTATAATTTCAAATTCTACTATTATTTTAGCAGCAGCTAAAATAATGAGAATTTAAAAAACTTTTCCTGTGCGTAATATGTGACAACTTGAAAGAGTTAATATACTTTCCAAACTAACATATACTTGGAGAATTTGGCTTTGAATATAGTGAAGCATAATTAAAATTTCTTTTTTGCACATAAGTGAGGGAAAATAATTAAAGGTTTTGGGTTCAATATACCAAGTTATATAATTTTGTTGGATTTTTTGTTTTATTTTAGGTTTACTGGAAATTAAGTAGTGAGTTTGATATCACTGGAGACTTTTTTTCCACAAGTGGATTTTTCACCATGGCCGATGGGGAAAGTGCAGCAAACTTTGATGTTCATTTGCTGCCCGATGATATACCTGAGATAGAGGAAGAGTGTGTGATCCAGCTTGTTTCTGTGGAGGGAGGAGGAGAACTAGATCTGGAAAACTGCACCACGTGGTTCTCTGTGTCTGCAAATGATGACCCACATGGAGTATTTGCCCTGTACTCAGATCACCAGTCCATTCTTATTGGGCAGAACCTTACTAGAGCTGTCCAAATTAATATAACCCGGCTTGCTGGAACATTTGGAGATGTGTCTGTTAGATTTCGAATATCGTCTGATTATAAAGAGCAACCAATTGTAGCTGAGAATGCAGAGAAACAGCTGGTGGTCAGTGACGGTGCTAGATATAAAGTGGACACGGTGCCAATAAAGGATCAGGTTTGTGGCATTTCTTCAATTTCCTGATAGCCATATTGGAATCACCTTTAGACAAAGTTGCAGGGTACATTGTGAACATGGGAGAGAATCACAAGCTCATTAGGAGAGTATTTGTGAGGGATGGTGAAAAATAGCCTTTTAGGGACACCCATATCCATTCCATGGTAAGTTGTACACTGGGTGCTGCTCTCACGGAGGAATGGTGGTTAGCTAAGACAATAGAGAGCACAGAGGCAAGACTTTTGTTATTTTGTCTGAAGGCATCTTTTCCTTTGCTCCAAACCTGGAAGTGCTAGAAGACTGATGGAAATCAGCCCAGAAGGACTGAGAGAGTAGGGAAGAATCATTGCATGGCTCCTTTCCCACTGTAGACACCCAGCAAAGGATCAAGCCAGAACTATTATAAGCAGGGGAGCCTTAACTGAATGGGAAGTTAAGGTTATACTTTATGTACAGCTGACATATTATATTCCTAAAACCAACAAAGCTTTGAGATTTACATATCACATTGACACAGGGTAGTGGAAAGAAACCCCACAAAGCACTAACAGGAGAAAAGTGAAGTCGTTTTCTATTTTTTCATGTAAATTTCACATAACGTTAATGACCAATAGAAAATAGGCAACCATTCAGAGTAAGAAACATGACTATTACCTGAATTTGTACTTACTATGAAGCTTTCTGATCTTTTGTGTAGCTAGGTCTTTACTTTTGTATGTACTTAATAAAAAAAGTGAAGGCTTCTCAGTGAGGCATGGGTTTCATAGTCATTCCTATATTCCTGTCGTTCTCTGGGAAACTGACTTAATGTCATGGCCCTGATTTATCAGTTTCCAAATTCTGTATGCTAATATAAAAAATTACCAAGACTGGAGAGTGTAAAGAGTGGGAAAATGAGAACAGTGTGAAATTAACCAGAGTATCATTGTATTAAGTTTCATTTACACATTAGAAGAAAATTTTAAAAATGTAGTGTGCTTAGCTGAGTGTGGTGGTGGTGCATGCCTATAATACCAGCATTTGGGAGGCAAAGGCAGGAAGATTGAGAGTTTGAGACCAGGTCAGGCTACATAGAGAGTTCAAGGCCAGCCTGGGCTATATACTGAGACTGTATCTCAGCAATGCCTCCATGCTTTTTTCCCCAGCTGGCCTGGATCACAGTCTTCCTATTTATGTTTCCCACAGTAGCTAGAATGGCAGGCATGCACTACTGCATCCAGCTTTTTCTGTTGAGATGAGATTTTGTGAACTTTTTGCCTGGACTGACCTAGAATTGCAATCCTCCAGATCCTCCAGATCTCTCCCTCCAAGTAGCTGGGATTACAGGAGGCACCAGGCTTGGTGGATTGTTTTAAAACAAGGGGGGAAGGGTATGTATTGAAAAACCACTGATTACTAAAGATACTTCAGGCAATGAAGTGTTAATGGCTCAGGACATATGTCCCTGCTTTACTCTGAAAATTATTTATTCCTGCTAAAATAAATCATTGATCCTGTTTGTTTATAGGTTTTCCTATCACTGGGCTCTAATTTCACCTTGGAACTGGAGACTGTGATGCTTGTTAATGGACGTTTCTATGGGATGCCAACAATTCTCCAGGAAGCAAAATCTATTGTTCTTCCTGTCCCTGAGAAAGCAGCCAATTCCCAGGTAACTGGCCATGGGTGTCCTTCTCTTAGGGAATTACTAGAAGGCAAGTTTTACAGGAAGGACTAAGTTTTCTAAGAGAATTTCTTAAATACTTCCTTAAATCTAACTAGTCCTTTGAATATCCAAATAGACATAATGGATATATTATATAATAATAATTTATCAATTTTCAACATCATTTAGAAAATACATTTTCTTTTTTGAGTTTTATAAAGTTTTTATCTTATAGAATATGAATGTAAGGTATAGAGTTTTTAAAGTAAAGCACCTAAAGTAAAACTTTTTAGATCTTGATATTAAATACTTAATATTGTGGTATCTGTGATAAATATTTAAAAGTAAAATGAAGCATTAATGAAAATTTCAAACTTTTTCCTTTTGTAAGTGTGTGTTTGTCTTAAACACCCAGGCTTTGGTTTACTATGGCAGATTTGTGCTATCCTAAACAAATGCTGGTGGCCATTCTGTGACATGGCTGCACCTTAATCGTTGAGCCCTCTGAGTTCACTGTTAGAAAGATCAATTCCAAGTTACTTCATAAACCTAGGGCAGAACAAAGAACAACTAGAGGCCTTTACTTTCCTTCTTGGGGCATTCTGTATGTTCAAGAAAAAGATAGAGCTGTTGGCTCTGATTCTGGACATATGCATATATTTTCGAAGCCATTATGAAATATGATTCCATCCCACTCCTTCACATGGTGCTCCGGCCTGGCCAAGAGGCTGGCATGGAGTCTGTGGAGATGGATGGGCAGGAGTGTGGGCAGATATGGTCTCTGACCATTAAGGAATGCTTGTCAGCTACTCCCTTGTGGGTATCTTCTCCACACAGAATGAATTTGCTCTTTCCCTAAGGTGGAATCCATCAACATTAAAAACAGCTCATGGGAACAGAAATTCTCTTTGAAATTTTGTTTTCTTCTTTTTGTTCATGGTCACTGTAAAAAAAAAAAGATTCCTTTCATTCCAAACCATTTGTTCAGTTATAGTAGTAAAGTATTTCCTATTCCTTATTCATGTCTATTGTCACAACACTGTCTGTATCATCTTAGAGGACAAGATGAGGGCCAGTCATGTCTGTGATGTAGCTCTGAGTTCCTATCAGTATTTGTATGATGTGTGTGTGTGTGTGTGTGTGTACACAGGCATGCATACATGCTGTGGCTAAGGCAGATTCATACCACCTTCTAGCTATATAGCCAGTACAATCTCACTCAGAGCTTTTGACAGCTGCTAAGCAGAAGCCTCACTGTAATAGAGTCTAGACTGGTGTAAAACTGAAGTTGTCATTGTTTTCCCCTCTTCAGCTCCAGAAGCACCCTCCCACAATTTTCTGCAATGATTTTTTTTTCCAATTTAAAAAGAGAAAATATGGGCAGAACAGATCCTGCCCAGGGGGGAGGGTTGGCACCAGTGGGCGGAAGAGGTGGCTGGGAAAGGGAGTAGGAGGGTGAATTAGTGCAAAAAATGTATACACATGGATATACTTGCAATAAAGATACCTGTTGTAACTTTCCATAAATCAGGGGAGGAGGAGACAAAGAGGAGTGATGAAGGATGAACTCAAGTATGGTGTAGTTGATATGTTGTAAGAACCTTTGTAAATGCCACAATGTACCTCTACCCAGCACAACAAAAGAGGCAAACTGAGTTGTCTAAATCCATAGTAAAGCCAGATTCTTGGTTTTATTCTAACCCATTGACCAGAACTTATTTCATCTATAAGTAACACACCCTGGGAAGGGTGCCCTTAAAACAAATTCTTATTTAGTGTTGATGAACAAGATAATTGTTAAAAAAAAAAAACCCTCATGAACACCACAAAAAGATATCATATTGAATCAAAGGACTGAAAACCTTAATAGAAGGTCTAGTTCATGATGCTCAGTTTATAAATGGAAAAATGTGTGTTATGATACCTTAGAAATAAGTCAGATTTCAGTTTTATACAGATCAGGTTATGGAAAAGTCCATGAACAAGTCATATTCAAATGTTGTTTTCTTCAGGTTGGATTTGAATCTACTGCTTTTCAACTCATGGACATTGCTGCAGGCACAAGCCAAGTTGTCATTTCCAGGAGAGGCACATATGGCGCTCTCTTGGTGGCCTGGACTGCTGGTTATGCTCCTGGGTTAGAAATCCCTGAATTCATTGTTGTTGGCAACATGACCCCAATACTGGGTAAGTTGTTGTTCTAGATCAGCCTGTAGAATATGGAGGTGTATAACTGATCATTTTCTTGGGTCATTCTTCCTCTGGACACTAAACTGTTACTTTTTTTCAACAAACAATAGAAATGACCCCTGCAGGTATGGTCTTTAGACTGCTAGTTTCTTAATATAGTGGTCTCGTGCTTAATAAAGTTCTCCTAGACTTAATATAAATGTTCCCATACTTACATGGAGCAGGGTTGTTCAAGCTGCCTGATGAGGAGGAGAGAGACTTTTCTAGTCAAATTTAAAACTTTAGACCTCATGCCCAGATAGTGGTCACTAAGCAGACCACTCTGCCAACACGTTAGGAGTTTGTTGAAAATAGTTCTAAAAATCTTATTTGGCCCATATGATAATAAAAATGACACAGTGTTGTACCCATTTACATATTGACTTGATATTTCTGAAAGCAGAGCAGCTACTATTTCATATATTTTATTTTTTAAATTATGCATTGGCTTTTCTCAAGGTAATGAGATGTAAGTGTTAGATGGTTTAGCCTCTATCATGTTACAGAGAACTCATTGCAAACTCCTATGATGACAGTTGAAAAGGACTCCACTGGGCTCAGAATATTTGTAGTTCTCCTTCTTTATTTATAGTATCCTGTTGGATACAAGGCAAATGCCATTTACCATCAGTCATCTAATGAATCCTGTGTAAGAACTGAGATCTACAGTCTGTCATGGAGCATGGAATGATTTCCATTTTCCCAAGGTCTTAGTAAGCCAAGAAACTGAATAAAAAAGTGAAGTACTTTGGAAGATGAAGGTGAGGACTAGGGACAATAAAAATGACAACTTTGTCATGCCAGCTTCCATGCTAGTAGGAATTCCAGTAAATACAGAATGAATTTGGATGCTTGATTGAGAATTACCATAGCACCAAAATTACCCTGGGTGGTAGTTTCTATAGCCACCCATAGGAAACCCTCATCTAATATGTCAGACACTGTGACTTTTAGTTTTTCGGTGGGGGGGGGCATATTCCCTAAAGATATTTCGTTATCTTTCTGATCTATTTTCTATTCCTTTTTGTCTGTAGTAACTCATTTGTTACTCCACTACCCTTTCTGTCACTTTGAATGATACATGTAACTCCATATAATTTAGATTATTTTTGTATTGCCAATCAATTATGATTTATGCCAAGAAACATTGTTCTTTATGTATGCATATGTGACTTTGGGCTTATATATATAATTAATTTTCAGAAGTTTTACTGAATTTATAATAACTTCATTAAATAAATAGTAAGAGATTTCAAACAGTAGTTTCATATCAAGTAGGTATAATTAGTTTTCTGAGCTTTGATAATACATTTTTAAACATAATAAAATTAAATATCTATAAACTCACTGACTCAATTTACTTTCCACCATATTTGTGACTTTCTTCTGAAATAACCTAAAGTAAAATGCATATATTATAATATTTTACCTCAAATTACTTCAGTACTCTAAAAAAATACTGGGGCCAGAATTTATTTGTTAATTTATTTACTTTGTTTATTTTTCCTTTATTGTTGTGCTAGGTGGGAGTACACTGTGGCATTTACAAAGTATCAAATATATCATACTTGAATTTACCCCTTTACCTCTCTCCTTTATCTTCCCCCTCATTCCTGGAATAGTTTCAACATTGTTTGCATTTACGTTTTTGTGTACATATTTTTTGCATTGTTTTCACCCTTCTACCTACCCCCTTTCCCCTTCCCCTTCTGGAAAGAACCTGTTCCACCCTCCTGTTCTCTGATTTTGTAGAAGAAAAAAAAGAGAAAAGAAAATTTGACATTTTTTTCTTATTTGAGATAAAGGTAGCTACACAGGGAATTTCCTTGTTGTGTTTCTGTGTATACATGTATTATAACCCCAATTGGTTTATCTCCTTTAATTTTCTTCATTCTATTTTAGTCCCTTAGTCCCTTTCAACCAGTTTAAGATTTCTGTATTCATTCTCGTGTAGAGAGTGTATCAACCATATTCAAGTTCATTTCCTTCCTTTACCCTATCCTCCCATATGTGACTTCCCCTTAGTGTAACCAGTGTTTCATAATATTGCTGCATTTGTATTAGGTCTATATAACACATATAAGAGAGAATATGTGGCTTTTGGCCTTCTCAGTCTGGCTAAGTTCATGTAAGATGATGTTCTCCAGTTCCATGCATTTACCTGTGAATTACAAAATTTCATTCTTCTTTGTGGCCAAGTAAAATTCCATTGTGTATAAATACCACATTTTCTTAAATCCATCTGTCAGTAGTGGGGAATCTTTGCTGCTTCCATAGCTTAGCTATGGTGAATAATTCTGCAATAAACATGTGTGTGCAGGTGCCTTTGTTGCAAATGACTCAGAATCCTTCAGGTATATACCTAGGAGTGGTATTGCTGGATCACATGGCAGATCTATTTTTAGTTTTTTAAGAACCCTTATACTGTTTTCCTTAGTGGTTGTACTAGCTTACATTCCACCAGCAGCATATGAGGGTTCCTTTTCTGCATCTTCTCCAACATTTGTTGTTGTTTGTGTTCTTGATGATAACCATTCTAACAGGAGTAAGATAGAATCTTAATGTGATTTTGATTTGCGTTTCTTTTATGGACAGGGATGGTGGGCATTTTTTTCACATTTTTTTTTTTAGTCATTTGGACTGCTTCTGGGGCCAGAATTTAAAAGAAATCCTAATATCAAATAATTTCTGTAAGTTTATTTACCTTTCCCCATTCATATCATCTTTTTGGGTTATAGTCAAATTTTGGAAAATAAATATTTTTGCTGTGTTATTTAAGAGTCAAATTCCAATTTAGCAACCAAGAAATGACACTCTGCTTTTCTTTTCATTTCATGTTTCCTCTCAGGGAGACTTTCATTTTCCCATGGTGAGCAAAGGAAGCAGGTTTTGCTGCAGACATTTCCCAGCCCTGGTCGCCCAGAGGCCTTTGTCCTTCACTTGTCAGGAGTGCGGAGCAGTGCTCCTGGTGGAGCTCAACTTCGGTACAGCCAATCTAATTCTCAGCCTGGACATTGTCTGAGAAATAATCTGGAATGTATCCATCAGAACAGAAAAAGACACAAGGATCTCTGCCCTTGAAGCAGACTCAAAAGCACTTGTAATGTAGACAACACATAACATGCATGCCTAAGATGCCCAAAGGAAGACCAGCTTTCAGTAGCTCCCCATCCTTTGCTGGCCTTATAGAAGCTCCTCATGACCTCTGCCTTGGGAATGGAGGCCTGGGGTCACAGATTCAGTAATGAAAAGTTCCCTGATTTTAAAGGGAGCTGTCTTCTAGAAGCAGCTGAGAGTACCTAATTTCCCCAAGTCATTAAGAATAAGAATAAGCCATCATAGTAGAATAATAATGTTACTTGTTAGGACTGGTGACTTCTTTTTAGTTCACTTTAATTTTATTTAAGTTTGCTATTTATGTGGAGCCCAGTGTACTTGTAGTTAAAAATGTTCTACTCCAAAAGTAGTTTATTTTTCTCGCATCTGGGTTGGGGTTGACCAGAACATCAGAGGGCAGGCCTGAGAGCCACACTCAAGGACTAGTGTGTGTTCAAGTAAGTCTGCATACATGTTCATGTATGGATGCTATTTATTGGTGGAGTGAAATATGGCTTTAGATTGTACAAATTCCAGTTAAAATAATATTTGCTCAGGGCCAGAGTCGTGGTTCAAATGGTAGAGCTCTTGCCTAACAAGTGCAAAGCTCTGAGTTCAAGCCCTAGTACTTCTGGTAAAATAGTATTTGTCTAAAGAACATATTTCAGGACTAAAATTCAGATGCCTTTAACAACAATAATTGCTAACAGTTTTACAGTGCTTACCCTAAACCAGACGCTGCTTGAACTCTCTCTCTCACTCCCCCTCCCCAACAGAAACTGTATGAAGTAATTAATACGATTTGTCTCATTTTAGAGATGAAGAAAGTGAGTTATAGGTAGATTATATTGTAAGCACAGCAATGCACACCTGGTAAGTCTTAGGGCAATGATTTGAACTCTGGTTCTCTGGCAACTGTCTTAAGCTCTTAACACTATTTTATGTGCTGAGTTATATGTGCTTCATGATAGAGAGTGATGGGACGTGGCGTATCCTCCCTAAAGTACATTTTTACAAATTTATGTTTATATATAAATATGTTTGTATATGAACTGTGTTAGCTAAAGAAAATATATTGGTGATCAGAATTGCTGACTGCTGGAGGAAGCAAGATCTTTGCTTCCAGTTCCAGTAAATATTCCTATTTGATAGGTATAAGAAAGTTGGCTGATGTCCGGAGCATTGTAGAGGTTTTGGTTCTCTTGTACTGATGCTAGGAGAGAGCCTGATGTTTTATATCTCTCAGATAGCTGCTCCAGGATGATGGAGAAACGAAGACATTTAGGTCCTTCCTACCCCTGCTCATATATTTCTTGTGCTTTTTTTTTTTTTTACACTGACCATATCATTTTATTTATTTATTTATTTATTTATTTATTTATTTATTTATTTATTTTTGCAGTACTGGGGATTGAACCCAGGGCATTGTGCATGCTAGGCAAACACCTAACCACTGAGCTACATCCCCAGCCCATGCATTGTTTAATTATTTTTTAATTTTATTTTATCATTTTTACAATTACTTACATGTGTATACATTATTTGGGCCACCTTTTCCCTGCTGCTAAGCAATAGAGTTTTAGGGAAGTTGAAATATTATTAATAAATTAATTTTATTAATTTTTTATATATTTTTAAATTTTCTCATCTAAGTATTAACTACTTCATACAGTTTCTATTGGGAGGGAGTGAGAGAGAGAGCTTAAAGCAATGCCTGGTTTAGGGTAAGCACTGTAAATAAATAATAATATTTATTAATATTATTAATAAATTAATAAATAAAAGTAAAAAATAAAAAGCACTTTATTTTTAAGATGCTTTCTTCATGACCAGCATCTGAAATATTCAAAGAAGAATTTCTCCAGCCATTTCTCATGGTTTATTTTTTTTCCAGATCAGGTTTCACTACTGCTGAAATTGAACCAATGGGAGTGTTCCAGTTTTCCCCCAGTTCAAGAGCTGTCACAGTGTCAGAGGATGCACAGATGATCAGGTTACATGTGCAAAGACTGTTTGGTTTCCACAGCGATCTTATCAAAGTTTCCTATGAGACAACTGCAGGAAGTGCCAAACCATTGGAAGACTTTGAGCCCGTTCAAAATGGGGAAGTGTTTTTTCAAAAATTCCAAGCCGAGGTTGATTTAGAAATAACCATTATTAATGATCAGATTCCTGAGAAAGAAGAAATTTTTTACATTAATCTCACTTCCGTAGAAATTAGGGGACTACGGAAGTTTGATGCTAATTGGGGACCACGCCTGAATCTAGATTTCAGTGTTGCAGTGATCACAATATTGGATAATGATGAAGTGGAGGGAACAGATGTTTCTGTTCCCATGACAGCAGTGTCTGTAGCAGTTGGCACCACTCTGGTTGCTGTAGAAACTGGCTCTACCACATATCCTGGCACAAGCAGGGTAACGGCCATTCCACAGACCAGTGAGATCATCACCCTTGTTACTGAAGCAACTGGTGTATCTGCCACCTCCGGGGAACTTGTCATCCTTCATGGTACATCCACTATTCTTGAGAAGCCTGATGTGGCCAGTGGAACTGCCGAAGTTTCCATCCATGGAACATTTAGTCTCAGTCCCCCAGTTGTTTATGTGGAAGAGGAAATGAAGAATGGCTCATTCAGTACTGTAGAAATTCTTATCCAAAGGACTGGTGGGTTTACTGGTGATGTCAGCATAACAGTTAAAACTTTTGGTGAAAGATGTGCTCAGAAGGACCCATCTGTGTGGCCCTTTCAGGATATCTATGGAGTCCCCAATCGAACGTGGGCAGTTGAAGGAGAAGACTTTGAAGAACAAACACTTATCCTTACATTTCTAGATGGAGAAAGAGAACGTAAAGTATCTGTTCTGATTCTGGATGATGATGAGCCTGAGGGGCAGGAATTCTTCTATGTGTTTCTCACAGACCCTCAAGGGGGAGCACAGATTGTGAGGGGAAAGGGGAATGCTGGATTTGCAGCTTTTGCCACGGTTATTATTGCAGGTAATCTTTGGTTGATGAAGATAAAATGCATACTCTTGTTGTTCAGAATTTGTAATAAGATCAGTCTATCCTGAATTTAAGAAGGTGAGTTATTTAAATCATTCATAGTAATTCATTAGAACATTTATTTCCCAAAGCATGGACCTATGATGTGAATTCATGTTGCTGTTCTCAAGTGCCAGGATACAATTTAATGGATTGCAATGTCACTTAGATCCAAGCCATATACACAGTCTATAAATCTACATTTTCACAATATAGGGACAATATTTAAGTCCATGTTCTTCTAGAAGATCAAACATTTGACTGATTGCCTATCCTGTTTTGAAGCTTCAGTCTAAATTTACCAACAATTTCAGTAATCCGTACTAAAGTCAAAGATCTCAATGTCAAGAAATTCTTTGTATTTGTTATGAAATAGACTAAAACTTTTATCTTTTATTATGTTTCTGATCCAAAGCTGTTGATGTAGTCATTGTACTAGTGGGTATAGATATACATATTTTACAATAGCTTAAAATTTTAACTATTTCTTGAATTTCTCCTGTACTTTATATAATCTATATAACTTTGATTTATAAATACAATGTGGAATCATTAAATCAAGCTAGTTATCATATTCATCATCTTAAATACTTAACATTTTTTGAAACTTACTTTCTTAGCAGTCTTGACGTACTCTGTATTAAGTAACTACTCACCATGCTGTGCAAGTCTCAAAACATACTTTTAGCATTTTTTGCTTCCTAGAGTTTTCATTTTATTTTAGCTAAAATTCAACTATCATTTTGCAACTGTTTAACTTCTTTTCATATCTAGTGTTTCTCATTTATGTTACCCTACAAATTTTTACCAATTAGAATTAATACCACTTATTTCTATTCCAACAGTTTATTGAGAGTATTGTAAATTTGAATTTGGTTCTGCAAGTTATTTACATTGGCTTAATATCATCTACACACTTCTAATAAAATTAGTTTAGCAGTCAACATCCTCCTCCCCATTTTATGACAGGTATTTGATTATAGTCATTCAGTATAACTAGGACTGACAGTCAAATATATAGTAGCTGGTTTGGAACAGGGAAAGCCAATAAAATGTTTTCTGGAGGCTCCTTGCTGTTGTAAACAGTATCCCATTAGTTACTGAATAATGGAGAGATCTTGTATCCTTGTTAGGAAGATGACAGAGAGTTCTTTGGGAGCTCAGGATGTCAGCTATTTCCCAGTAGAAATGAAAATGCTTCCGTATTTATCAGGCAGTATGACTTACTAATGCTACTCATATACGAGCTCTGAGCCTAACTTACCGGGCACAGAATTGAGCACTGTGGGAAAAATTTGCCACTCAGGTGAACAATGTGAGATGCTCTTAACATTTTCCTTACATAAGGTACACTAATGACACATATTTATGGAAAATGATTGACTCCTGTATTGGATTTTTTGTCATCTGGAAAAATATATGAGGGAGGTAACCTAAAAAAGGAAGGATTTATTTTGACTTATGACTTTGAAGATGTTAGTTTATCATGGGTGGAGGTAAAGAATGGGGAAACAGAGCAGTTCACATCATGGTGGCCAGGAAGCAGAGAGAGGGGAACACAGAAGGGACCAGGGCAAGATATAGCCTGCAAGGACATGCCCTCAGTGACCCTCTTCCCCCAAGTGGTCCCCACCTCCTACTTTTCACTGCCTTCCAATAATGCCATTATATTAAGACTCTATGAAAGATTAATCCATTCATCAGGTCAGAGCTCTCATTATCTGATAGTCTCTGTAAACACCATCACAGACACACCCAGGTGTGCTTTGCTAATTGTCTGGAAACTTCTAAATCTAATCAAATTGACAGTCAAAATAAAGATCTTAACTCTTCACCATATCTCTTAATATCACAGGGTACAGTGCACTGACCATACCACCAGTCACATTCGAACAGTCATATTATCCTGAGTTCCTTTACCTGCAAATGTTCATCTTTCCACCACTTGGCTCTTTCTTTTTCTTAGTAATATTTTGACATTTGACTGAGACAAAACACACATGAGGCACTAGGACAAATCTAGTCCATCATGGTCATGCTTATAATACTTGGGGTCCACATTTACTTATACTTCAGACCTGGGAAATAGACCAGAAACTGGTGACCACTATCTCTTCCCACATCAGGGCAGTTAAGTATTTTTTTTTCTGTTCCCTTAACCTGACCTACTCTTTAACTTCTGAAGTTCTGTCTTCTTGAAATCTTGGAAATCAGGTTTCTGAGTAATGGATACAAGCATTTTTAAAAGCTGGTTGCTTTAGAATCATTCCTTCTAGGATCACTTTGTAAAACTGGCCTTTGGGAAAGAGAAAAGAGTAGATACTGTATACTGGCATTAGTCTTGTCCAGGAAGTTCCCTTGGGTACTGAACAGGATTTGAGGTGACTGTCTCAGTGCAGTCCAGACCTCAGGTTTGATCTGGTTTAATACATTTTAGTGTGATGTTTCCTATAACCTCAAGTGTTGCTCAGAGTAGATTCTGACACTCAGAGATGCCCAGGAGTCTCTTAATTTTGCTCTGGAGCAAGCAACTGAATGTATAACATAAACTATCTTTTGGTCAGATCACTTATTAGGAAAGTGAGTAAGTTAAATAGAGTTCACTTATTCATTGATTTTTTTATTAAATGCTTACTATAAACTGTCTTCTGCTGGAGACACAGCAGTAAATAAAACACTCCTGTACTGGTAGAATTTTCATTCTGTGGGGAAACACAGACTTTAAAAAGTGAACACATAAAATGTAAAGCATGGTCCTCAGAGCGAGATGAGTATATGTGTGTCAGGTAGGGGTAGGATATGATGTTTTTCTCTCCTGGTCTTTTGTTCCCAAGCTCTGAACCACTTTGATATAATTTTTGGGTCTATTTTTAGTGGAAATCTATTAAAATTGTAGCTCCCACTCCCCACTTGTGAATGTCTCACTTTTATACTTTCTGAGCTGGCAAGGTTACTGAAGCATCGGAGATCCTGTAAATTCTTAAATTTATTACAGCCTCCATTTTCCTTTTCAGGGAGTGATCTTCACAATGGCATCCTAGGCTTCAGTGAGGAGTCCCAGAGTGGACTGGAACTAGGGGAAGAAACTGGTACAAGAAGACTGCATCTTACTGTCACAAGGCAGCCAAACAGGTGTGTGTGTCTTGTAAGATGTAACATCCTGGTATCCAGACAACATTTAAGTGGATTTCTCACAACAGTGAAGGCAGGATGAAGTGTAGGTAGAAGATAACATAGAATTTGGTGGGTCAGTGTTGAGATGCTCTTGCACTTGATCTGTGATTTAATACATTTGGTTTATAATCCTAACGTAGGACTGCTTTGAGTGTTTTGTGTTTCATAAAGTACCATTGACATGTCAGGTTATGTAGGCCATCACCTCATATTTACTACTCTGTGATAACTTGGCACACATAACAATTATACCATGAGGGAGACTTGGAGTGCCAAAATTTCCCTTGTAACCCCATGCCATAGAGTAACATCTTTGACTGCTCATCCAACTCTGTGTGTGTATGTGTAATTGCATATACACATGAGATATCTTGCATTGTCCATTTGGGGCCTGTTCTGTGGAAATTTAGGTCATCTTTTGCTCTCTATTTTTACAAAAACCATTTTTACAAAGAGTACTATTCAGAAAAATTTTTGTTAAAATACAATTGAAGTAAGGGGTTCGCTATAATTTTTACTTTACATTTCTGATACATTATAGGCAGGAAATATTTTTTCACATCCCTGATGCAGAGTCATTCAGCAAATGGCCCTTCATTTCTAAATAGAATGTAGTCAGAGAATACTGTGTGCCTCTGAGTCTTAATTTTCTTAACTGTTTTGAAGAGAATTGATCATTTTCAGCGTTGTTAATCACAGAGTATGTGCTGTCCTGTGTGTGAAGATGTATGATTTGGCACCGTGACGGTACACTCTCTTAGACACTGTATATCATACTTTGTCACTGCATTCACATGGGTTTACTCTGTTGACAGGGCCTTTCAAGATGTCCAGGTCTCATGGCGAGTTACATTTAACAAAACAGCCCCTGTTCTCCAGAAAGAAGAGGTAAACCTAATGGATGAACTTCTGTCTGTGTCAGGGATCACGACTTGTGCAGTTGGCCAAACACAATGCCTTATCACCCTTGAACTCAAACCAGAGAAGGTGAGAAATGATGAGGCGTGAAGCTGTCAGCTTCCAATTATGTTTCTTTGTCATTGTTTTAAAGCCATTTTACTGAAGTTACGCATTGCTTGTGTGGAAATTATTCCCTATTATATCTAAATCTCTTTGTGGGGCCACAGACTTTAGATGTAGAATATATCACATTATGAACTTTTAAAAAGAGCCTACCAGTTTCTTCCTTTTTTGTTTCTTGCCATTTCAAGATTGCTCCTGGGCCAGCTATGTATTGTCTGAATGATCCTTTGAGTCATTTTCAAATAGATAAGTATGGCTGATTACTCTGAATCTCTAGTGTTTTGCTTTTATCATATCCATTAATCATTTAATTTATTCATCGATGAAATATATTTCATTCTCCTTTCATATATACTCAGGGAGTACAGTTTTGATATTCAGAGTCTGAGCCTGATGAGCCTTTGGATAAGTGTCTGTTGCTTCACATGGCACTAGGAGACAAGCATCCCCCACAGAATCTACATCGTTCACATGATGGTGGTCACTGATGACTTAGCAGAGGTTTCTAGGGGGATTTAGTAATCATATGTAGCTTTTCCTCCAGTGATTATTATGTGATACTTCAATACTTCAATGCTAAAGGAATACTAAGTAGCATTTGTCCTTTGTCTAATGCTTATTTAGTAAACCTAAATATCTAGTACAAAAACTAGCCATCCAATGGTGAATGTTCAAAGTATAATGACTTTTTTGTACACATCATACACTTTAGACAACAGAGAAAGCACGCACAAATATATTTACTTCAAAACTCTTAACTATACCTAAACCTACTTAAAAATAACAATGTTGTAGGTTTGATTTCTTTTGCTTTTCTTGTTTTTACACCTTTTGAGAATTAGTATAAAGTTATCTTAATCTTTTCCAAGTCTATATTAATGAATATTTTATGTCTTTTAGGGATTTTAATAATTATATTCATTCCAAAAGAGAAAGTTATCTCTGGTCACTGAAAGGTACATCCCATGGGTATCACTACTTTGTTCTTAGTTGGGGCTGTAAGAGCTAGTTCTTATCTAAGCTGTTTCAAGGGAGAAGTGCTGCTCAGCTGATTAGAATTCATTTATGACTTCACTGGTTACACTAACATATATATATATATTTTAAATTCTAGACTTTCAGGTTTATTTTTTCAATATTATGGTTTTTCTCCCAGAAAGATTTGTTCTTTAAATTTTGCAGTGCCAAGCGAGGCGTGGGTGGCTCATGCCTATAATTCTAGCTACTTGGGAGGCTGAGATTGGGAGGATCATGGTTTGAAGCCAGCCCCAGGGCAAATAGTTTACAAGAGGCCATCTCCAAAGTAACCAAAGCAAAAGTGAACTATTGGCTTAGGCAGTAGAGCACCTGCTTTGCAAGTGTGAAGCCCTGAGTTGCAACCCAGTTCCACCCAAAAGAAGAAAAAATTGCAGTGCCAGTTATACATTTACCTGTTTCCCTCTCACCATTGAACATTAGGCTGCTCCATGAGCACTACTGGAAGTATGTGCCTACCTTGTTAATATCTTGTTGACCAAGGAGGTCAACCTACAGACTTCATCTTGTAAGAGATGAGACAAGTCTGTACTTCTTTAATTCATTTGTTCTGTCACATTGGGAAAGACACAACTCCTGTTCCTGTTTCTGCTTCATTTGTATGTTTTTCATGGGTGCTAACCATTCCTTCCTATTCTTGGTACAATTATTACTTTCACTGGAAATAATTGACATATTCAGAATTCTTTTTATTAACCTCTTCCTATTTAGAGAAAAATGTCCATTGTTGCTTAATAAATGAAAACATGATTAATAGAAGACCTAGATGTCATGATATGTTAACATTCTCCTACACATTAAAATGTGTACACACTATTCTGTTCACCCATATTATAAAACAACTATTTTATACTGCCATAACATTTCTCTGTTCAGTATTATAGATTCACATTTAACTCATTTTAATTACTTATTAAATGATTTGCTTTTGGGTGCTCAAATAGTCATCTCATGGCCTCTGAATATCTCATTCAGCTGATCCTTTGTCTTTTCACTATTACTTTTAAATTTTCTGGATACATATTTGCCTCATAGCACATATGTTCCAGAGCCATCCTGAGTTTTCCTAATCTGAGACATCCAATCAATTGCCATCTGGCTAATTTCTTTAATCAGAAGCATTTTAGAGATCAAAATGTACTAGAGCTGTGAATGACAGACGATAATAGGTAAATGTGCTGCTTTGAGGTCATCTTGGAAATGTTAAAGCAGAAAATAATTTTTTTAGTCTTGAATACTCATTGATTTTTTTTCTAGTTTACCATATCATATTATTGTATTTTACTTTTCTTGAGTGTCAGCTACTAACACTGTCTATCACACTGACAATAAGAAGCTGAATTTTCAATATATAAAACATGTAATTCTATTTTTCTATGTAAAAATCCTGTGCCTGCCTTCTAAATATTTTTATGCTTTTCTCAATCTCTATAGCTCCATATTTCCTAGGTATAGCTCTCCCTTAGTTGTTAATCAAAATACCACTTCCTCCATGATGCTTGCCATGAAATCTCCAGTTAGAATTCTTCTCCAACTTTACAAGACCCTGTCAGTACCTTTTAGTTATACACAATGTTACAACTTATCGTATGTATGTTATTTTGGCTATTCACTATTTGTCTTTACCTTCTTGAAATTTAGAGCATGGTTTTATTCATTCCTACATCCCTCCCACCATTCCCCATAAATATATGTTGCACACATGAATTACTGAAAATTACTGTGAAGGACAATTTCTCTCAAATAGGATTTTTGGTGAATTTGAATCCTAGAACTATCTCAGTATAGTTAAAACTTCTGTCAGTAAAATGCATGTTAACCTTACAATTGTAAGAAAAATCTTTTGGGATCAAATGAGTGTTATTGGGATAAATATCTGTATTAGTCTTTATCAATTTCATTGTGAAATAAGACTTATTTGTATTTAGAGATGAAAACAGTTTTCACAGAGTAGAAATACCTGGTTTGTGACAGTGGCCAAATAAAGTAGCTAGAGATCTTAAAAGGTAGAACTAAGCTGTGCTTTATTACAATTTTAAGGGAATGCTACCTGCAGGAGAGAGAAAGGAGTGGGTATGGGGAACCAAGCAGAAGTGGTCTTGAAAAAGCTAAAAAGGAAGATAAGAACAGTAGAGTACCATGGGTTTAAGAAGACACTCTCTCTTCGAGCTTGCCCTCCCTGCAGGAGAATACCAAGGGAATTCCTACATACTAAAGATACATAATTAAGGGGTAAGCAATGTGGTAGGTGTGGTACATAGGATGCTACCTTTATATATCTTTTCCCTAACTATAGAAATGAACATGAACCCATGTTAGTAGTTTCAGTTAGGTAAGAGAAAGAATTTAGTCTCACTTCTTTTTCCTATTGTAATGTTTAAATCATGGAGTTAGTTTTCTTCTGCATCCCGAGAAGCAGCTAATTTTCAAGATATTTTGCCCTAATTAACTTTCCAGCTGTTCAAAGGCAAATTACAGGCATGGGTGACATATATTTTTATTTTAGTAAGAAGAATTTTTTTTTAAAAAATGAAAGGAAGATTATATTTTTATGAAAACAATTAAAATACTATAAATTTCTAATATGCATTTAAAAATATTGTTGTGCTAAGTGGGAATACGTTATAGCATTTACAGATGTTCTTACAATATATCAAATATATCATAATTGAATTCACCCCCTCCATCATTCTTCTTTATCTCCCTTCCTCCCATTCCTGGAATAGTGTCAACCAATAAGTATCATTTTTCTATTTACATACATGTGTACACAGTATTTGTGCTACATTCACTGTCTACACCCTTTCCCCACCTTCTCCCCACTCCCTCCAATACCATTCCTTTCAGACAGAACCTGTTTTGACCTCCTGTTCTCCGATTTTGAAAAAGAAAAAAACCCGACATTTTTGTTTGTTTAACAGAGCTATATAGGGAGTTTTCTTGTGACATTTCCATGTATATATGTATTATAACCAGAATTGGTTCATCTCTTCTATTTTTCTTCTTTCTACCATAGACCTCTTCTTATGGTGATTTCAACAGGCTTAAAAGTTGTATATTCATTCTTGTTATAGAGAGTACATCAACCATATTCACCTTCTTAACTTCCTTCTTTTACCCTCCCCCTCTTGTATGTGATCTCCCCTTAGTGTGACCTGTTTTTCATAATATTGTATTAAGTCTATATTCCACATCTGAGAGAAAACAAGTGACTTTTGGCTTTCTGAACCTGGCTAAATTTACTTACTGATGTTCTCTAGTCCCATCCATTTACTGGCAAACAACAAAATTTCATTCTTCCTTGTGGCTGAGTAAAATTCCACTCTATATAAATACCACAGTTTCTTAATCCATTCATCAGTAGTGAGGCATCTTGGCTGTTTCCATAGCCTAGCTGTTGTGAATAATGCTGCAATAAACAATAAACATGAGTGTGCAGGTTCCTTTATTGTAACCTGACTTGCATTCCTTCAGGTACATCCCTAGGAGCGGAATTGCTGTATCATATGGCAGTTCTAGTTTTAGTGGTTTTTTTTTTTTTTCAGTACTTGGATCTGAACTCACAGTCTTACCTTGAGCCACTCCACCAGCCCTTTTTTTGTAAAGGGTTTTTTTAAGAGAGGGTCTCACAAACTATTTGCCCAGGCTGGCTTCAAACTGCAATCCTCCTGATCTCTGCCTCCTGAGTATCTAGGATTATAGGCATGAGCCACCAGCTACTGGCCCTATTTTTAGTTTTTGAGGAGCCTCCAGACTGTTTTCCATAGTGGTTGTACTAAGTTACATTTCTACCAGCAGTGTATGAGGGTTCCTTTTTCTCCACATCTTCGCCAGTATTCGTTGTTGTTTATGTTCTTGATGGTAGCCATTCTAACAGGAGTGAGGTGGAATCAGTGTGGTTTTAATTTGCATTTCCTTATGGTCAGGGATGGTGAGCATTTCTTCATGTGTTTTTTAGCCATTTGCACTTCTTCCTTTGAAAAACCTCTGTTCAGTTGTTTTGCACATTGCTTCACTGGGTCATTGATTTTTTTGGTAATTTAGTTTTTTGAGCTTCCGGTATCTGATATGCACTTTTATACATCACATTTTATGATTTGAAGTGGACCTATAACTTATTGAATTCGAGGTTCTCATGTATCTTATAAACTAATACCTAGCAACATAAACAAGGCAAGTTCTGCATCCATATTCTTCTGTAGTTGGCTTTGAGAGACAACTTGGGTGTTCTAGTGAAGCAAGGCAGTTATTCCTAAGCTTTTGACATAAGACTCATCTTCATTTTTTGTTAAAGGAAGAACTTCACTTATACAGAACTTATTCTGGGAATCCATATGGTGGTTAAGCATATGGGCTGTGATGACAGAAGACTTTGGTTTACATCTTAGCTCTTCCTCTAATTAGCTGTATGATGTTGAACAAGTTGTTTAGCTTTCCTTGGCCTCCCAAGTTTAAAGGGGTTAATAAAAGGGTTATTAGGTAGATTATATGAGATAATGAATGAGTAGTTATTAGCACAGTTCTTGGCAAGGAACTGACCCTACATAAGAGATGATTGATATTGCTGTTATTCAGAATAGATGGGATTAGAGCCTGAGGGAATCCAGTGGATTGTTTAACACCTACAAAACACTAGTGGTAGGGTTTACAGGTATTGCAAACTTTGCAAACTCATCTGCAGAATTATATCACTAATTAATGATGATTTCTCCTCACCTCAATCCAGTCTTCTTACCCTTAAATTTAAGGTGTTTTTTACTCTTTATCATATCTCTAATTATCATGTGCACAGTTATTCACTTATTTCCTTTTCACATTGTAAAGAATTTAAGTAACTTGCCCAGTCAATTACTGTGACAAGATTAGAACCTACCTGTTGAATTTCTGTTCATGTGCTTTATCCCTGTTCATTATCTAATGGTTCTATATTAGCAAAATGTATAAGGTAACAATTAACTTAGGAGACCTTCTCCTTGCCCATGAAATCCATTTAAACTAAGCAGAATTTAGACATTTGTGCAAATGTTTAAAAAATGTTTAGGTAAGATATTATTTCATTGTTACTGTTCTTCTTCTGAGCAATTTCAAGCCCAGGAAAAATCACTTTACATTAGCAAAAGATCACCCTGGAGTGGATCTGACCTAAGTAGGAGAGGCAATTACATATGGTCACTTGGGAGGCCTCCAATTATGTATAGGAGTCTAGAAAGGTTCAGATATGACCTGTGAATCTTGGTTTACCAGTAGACTTCAGGAATATCATTTGAGTAGAGTATTTCTTTGTCTGACTGGAAGACTCCTTTTATCTCTGGTCTAGTCATGTGTAGGCACCCATCTATACACTATTCAATTTTAGATGGTTCTTTACTACTTAGATTGTAATATATTCTTTTGACTGTAAGTGGTTGAAAGTAATGTCTTCATCATCATCACAATGAAAAGGAATATTTTAGTGGAAAATAAAGATGAGTCTTTATTGGAATGTAACATGTTGACAATTTCAGTTAAAAGAAACTATTATGAATTCAGGCTCACTTGGACAGTAGGGAGTAATAGCTCTTGAATATAGTTACCCATACTTTCCTAGTGCTTTAGTGTATTGGATTTGCCAAATATAGTTTCTCAAAAATGGGGAGAGTACAGTTATTTCCTTATTTCAATATTTACTGACAGTGGATCAGCAAAAGTGAAGAATGATGTGTGCCATAGGAAAGCTAAAGACATTTCTTCAAACAGCACAATGAGATTGAGTGTTTATTGTATGACTAAGATGCAACTTATTTTTGGATAATACTGAAAGGTTTTTTGATTATCATTCAAATGATCACAAAACAGATGATGAATAAGGCTCTTGCTGTTAGATAAAAATGATGCCTCCTATCATACCATGACACATGCAGTTGAAAACACATCAGTTTAGCTTCCTTGTGTTATGCTGGAAAGCTAACAATACTACTAAGATTTTTAGGTTTTATTGTGTAAGAGTGAATCATTCGCAAAAACAGGTGATTGGCAATGTGTTGTAACATTGAATCTGGGCTCTAGAAAATAAATTATTTGAGCCTGTTGAGAAAGGATGAAGGTGGAACATAAGCAAACCATAACTCACTACAGTGAATTTAGACTGATTTGATTTTGAATCTTGTGAAATTTGGAAACTGTAAGAAATTACAGACTTGACTGTTACCAATATGTGGTCATACTTATTTAAAAGTCTTTAAAAATAAAAGATACAAAAGTAAAATCTTACAAAGTTAAAACCTTTTTTTCTTCCCTAGCCCCAGTGTCATTCAAGTCCACACCCTGCCCTGGCTTCCACCTGACCCCTCCCCTGAGGCCGCTGTGGTCATGTGTGGCATTTTGTTTTGTTTTGTTTTTTAACTCTTACATAAATATTCATAAATATCTACAATACATAGTAAATGTTATATCATTTTTAATTTATACTTAGGCTATTATGCCATATACATCTTTATGAAATTTGATATTTTCACTCACTACCATGTTTTGAGATCACTTATGTTGGAAAGTATTGAACAAATACATTCTTTTCACTGTTTTTAACTACTTTATGCTATTCTGTTGTATGAGTACATTTTATTTATCCATTTGCTTGTTGAATATACTTAGGTTGTCTCTGGGTATTGAACTTCCAGTAAGAAGCTCACATAAAGTAAATGTATGTTTAGAGAAAATGCAAAATATTCATGGTAATCTAGCATAAAATTTAATTCTGTAACTATACAAAATATATCCCTACGTCTGTATTCATTTCTATTATGATGTGTATGAGTTATTCCACTTCATATTAGTAATGGTTATATATCTTTCTTGCAATGGCAGATACCTCAAGTTGAAGTGCATTTTTTTGTGGAGCTCTATGAAGTAACTGCTGGAGCAGCAATAAATAACAGTGCCAGATTTGCTCAGGTTAAAGTTTTACAGAATGATGGGCCCCGAAGCCTCATGTATTTTTCTGTGGGTTCTCGGCTTGCAGTGGTTCATAAGAAGGCCACTTTGATCAGTTTGCAGGTGGCCAGAGATTCCACCACAGGAGCCATGATGTCTGTTAACTTTTGTACCCAGGTAAGCATGGAACATACAATCATACACATTAAGGTTTTCTCCTTTCACCATAGCAAGTATAATGAAACAGAATAATCGATGCATTATTTTCTGAGGATTTCATCATAACTCACTTTATTGGTTGTAATAAACTTTATCCTTGTAACAGGTCATATTTTTCCTCTCATCAGCAACAGATTATGTTTTAAAATAATAAACATTTCTGATTTCCTTTGTTTTGACAGAACTGACTATACAACGCAAAGTATCTTACATAAATCTATTCTGCTAAATCTCTGGAGGGTTAAAATTTCTTCACGATGTAACTAATATAAGACCTACAGCAAAAAATAAGAGTCCTCTAACGGAAACAAAATAAGGGTCTTCTTATGGGTTATGTCTGAACTAGGTGAAGTTTCCTTCCTCAGAACCTCAGATACTAACAGCTCTTTAGGTTCCTTCCAATCCACATGTTTATGAGGCCCCAGGGCCATGTTTTCATCTCCATCCTATTAAGCGATGTCAGGTGAAAGACATGGAGCAGGTGGGTGTCTGGAAGCTCACAGAAGCAGTGCTGCACAACACTGAGTAACCAGATTCTTGGCACAAACAACACCATATATCTTTCAGCTGTAAGTTTTATGCTATTACAGCAGCAAAACTCTAATATAATAAAACAAAAATGTGTCATCTGCTGTGCTTGATGTGTGACAGTGAGGCTTATAGCTAGCCCACTTTAACAGCTCAATCTTCCTTTGACTTTTATAGCTGCAGGAAACCTACAATTTGACAATTACCATCTCAACAGTGCTTTCATTTACTGTGTTTTAATATTCCAATCCTGGTGACTCTAGGCCTCAAGGTTACAAAATTTTATGAAAAGTTCCATGTAGGACTGGCAGAGTGGTTAAGTAGAGTGCCTCCCTAGGTAGTGTGAGGCCTTGAGTTCAAACCCTAGTGCCACTCAAAGCAAGCAAACAAACAAAAAAAGATATACCATAAAAAGTTCTGTGTAGTACATGCTTAACTGTATCACTACTGGTTTGTCCAAACAAGTAGACCATTCTGTACATAAAACTCAACACATGCATGGCCGGTGTGTTGTGGTCACAAATGGGAGGCTAGGTCTAGAACTGTTGATAGTGAGCTGTCCTGGAAACCACACCCTAATATTCTAAGTAATAAACATACTACCCTGCAATTATAGACTTATTAAAAAATATTCAAGGCAGTGCTGTAATATCATTGCCCTTTTGAAAACTCAATGGAAATGAAGAATGGAATCAGGAATTGTACTATAAATAGAGGACTTCTGTTTCTGGGGAGATATCAATATCATGGATGTGCCTTTCCCTACTGAGTATAACTAAAGACCCAGGACATTACATGCAAAACAGCACCACAAAACTGAAAACTGGAGAGGAGAAAGCAGACTGCCTAGGAATATGGGCAACACAGGAGTAATACAGTAATGAATTCCCAGCATTTTCTTTTTGCCTCATATTTCAGATTTGAGCTGCAGAAATTGGCATAAAGAATCACTAATGAGAGAGGATTAAGAAAAAGCACCTCCCCCCACAAGTCTGCTCAATAACCATAAAAAAAGAAGGAAAGGTAGAAAACTTTTAAGTAAAAATGGTTTGTACCCCAACCAAACACCCTAGAAAGCCCTGGCCTCACCTATCCACAGTAGCAAAAACTGAATGTGGAGTCTGTATTTATAGCTTTGCCAGAAGCCTCAGTCTCTCTGCTGGCAGAGTGCCAGAGGACCTTAATGGAGAGTCAGGGCTTTCCCCACTATCTGAGGGTAAAAATGGGAGGCCATAGTTATGTGCTCATAACCCTTCTTAGCCATGAAAGTATGTATGAGTGGAGGCTAGTTTGGAGGCAGACTGCAACCTCAGCTAACAATACAAACAATCTCTCATTTCCCTCTCCCTCTAGTATAAACATAAACCAGTTGGGAAAACTGGACTTTTCCCTCCACATGTTGGTAATAAGGTAGTACCTTCCCTTCTTCTACCAGAGCAGAGTCAAAAGAAGCTAGCTAATAGATGGTTTAAATAATATTCATAGTCTCATATGATAACATGCAAAATGTTGAGCTTTTAATTAATAACCATTAATCATATGAAGAGCAGGGAAGATCTAAAATAGAACGAAAAAGTACAATCAACATATACCAATAAGGCTGGGCACAGTGGCTCATGCCTATAATCCTAGCTACTGAGGAGGCAGAGATAAGAAAGATTATGGTTCAAGTCCAGCCTGTGCAAAAGTTAGCAAGACCCCGTCTCAACAAATAAGCCAGGCATAGTGGTGCATACTGTTATCCTATTATACAGGAGGTATATGTAGGAGGATGGAGATCTGAGGTCAGCCATAGGCAAAAATGTGAGACCCTATCTGAAAAATAACCAATGCAAAAAATGCTAAGAGCTTCGCTCAAGTGGTAGAGCCCCCTTCCTAGAAAACTAAAGGCCCTGAGTTTAAATCCCAATGATGAAAAAAAATAGAGGCCAGTAACAGGATGACAGCAATAATTTTAATACAGTCATTATAAAAATGCTTGGGTGAGCATTTTTGAAACAAATGAGAAACACATTGAAACAAAAGAAAAAGTCCCTGTACAGAAATAGGAGTCTTAGAAGACATAAAAAGAGCAAATGGAAATTTTAAGGCTGAAAAATACAATAAAGTTGAAAAGTACAATAGATAGTCTCAGCAGAAGAACGAAGGGGGCAAAAGACTCTGTAATCTTGTAGGTAGGACCATAGAAATTATCCAATCTAAGCAACAGTAAAAAATAGGCTGAAAAAATGAACACAGACTTACAGACCTATGGAAGCATAGCTAAAGATCTAACATTGTGTCATTGAAGTCCTGAAAGAAAGAAGAAAATGTCAGAAATGAAAAAGTACTTTGAAAGAATGAATAATGGCTGAACATTACCGAATTTGGCAAAAAGATTTTGACCTTTAAATTCAAGGAACCAAGAGAACTATAAGCAAGATAAAGCCAAAGAAATCCTTACTAAGATAAATAATAGTCAAACTTCTGAAACTTAAACACAAAGAAAAATATTGAAAAAACTGAGAGCACAGTTGTGGCCCAGCTGGAGGTGGCACAACATTTTTCAAGTGCTGAAATAATCTAAGTCCTGAGTTCTATATACAGGGAAAATGTCCTTCAGAAATGAAGGTGAAGCCATTCTTACAGGAAAGACCAACTAATAACTTATTACATAATGACCTACCTGAAAAAATGTCATAACAAACCTCTCTAAGTAAAAAAGAATAATAAAAAAAAGAGGGATCTTGGAACATGAGGAAGGAAGAAAGAACACAGTAAACAAAAATGGACAAAAATATGTAGAGGAATTTCACCAGAGAGGATGAACAGACTACTCATAATCTCATAAGAAGATGTTGAACATGCCAGTTACAACCACAGTAAGATATCATTGGTACACCTGTCAGGATGGCTAAAATCAATGATATTACTAAATGCTGGCAAGGATTCAAAGAGATTGAATAACGTATGCATTGCTGATGAGAATGTAAAATAGTACAGCAACTTTGAGAAATAGTTTGTCACTGTACATGAGTCTTTAAAGCAGCTTAGTCACAATAGCATGAAACTAGAAATAATCCAGATGTCCTTCAGTGGGTGAATGATTAAACAACTGTCCATAACAGGGACTACTACTAACTAACAATAAGGAATAAACTATTGGTATAGATAACAACCAGATAACCTCCACATGATCATGCTAAGTAAACAAAAACAAGTCCAAAAAGATTATATACTGAATGATTCCATTTATATAATATTCCTAAAATTACAAAATCATAGAAATGGAGAAGAATTTAATGGTTGATGAGGACAGTAGGGGTGGGTGGGGGTATGTGACAAGAACAGATATTACACTTGCTCTTAGCTCAATGACTGAGAAATGCTCTGTTTTTTTAACTGTATCATGTCAGTATCTTGAGTATGTTATTATATTATGCATCTGTACTTTGTTACAAATAAGGGATATTAAATTGAGGGTATAGTAAATCTTTATTATTTCTTATAATTGCACATAAACCTGCAATTGCCTCAATATAAAAAAGTTTAAATAAAAAAATCAGGAGAAAAAAACCAGAAAAAATAGTTTTACCTCTCTGGCATCATTACTTTCTGAATGCTGAGCATATTACAGGAAGACAAAGACATATGACTCCATTTTTCAAGAACTGATGAGAATGAGAAAATAATCAGGAGCAAATACTATTCTGTTATGATGATAAGATTTTCATTTTGCTTTAGATAGATTAATGTGGTTAAAACAGTCACTATAGCACACATGTCTTTGTTAGTCCAGGCTTCCCATATACATAAATACTATACTCTTAGCATACATTCTCTTCTATCTAAATATGTGTGCTATAAAGTAAAGAAGGAATTTCTGATCCTTACTACTTGAAATAATGAAAACATCACTCACTATAGTTATGTCATAGGTACAGACAAATTTGGAGACTGATTTCAGACATTTTGATTTATGCATGTGTGTACTAGCCCAGAGCACCCAAGTTCAAGATAGACCATGCTTTTCCTTTGCATTTTGACATTTCCCATTTTATTCAGACAATTTCTATGTTGATTTTCATTGTCTCTCTTAAATTGCAAGTGCTTCTTGTTTGTGTTGTGCATATTTTATAAATACAAGAACATTTTTGTTGTTTTTGTTTCCTTCAAATATTTGAATTAGGAAAGAAATCTTACCAGAAAACAGTGTACCAAATTTATGTATGCAGTTTATGGTAAATCAAGTCACCACTGCCTAGTTTGAGAAATCCAACTTTACCAGGAATTTAAAACAGGTTGCTGAGAACCTCTACTACCATCTTGCTTTCTTTGACTGTTCCTATCTTTCAGATAACCTTTATTCTGAATTTCAAGTTTAATTATTCCCTAGCTTTTATTTATAGTTTTACCACCCACCATATGCTATTGGGCTTATCTGTTTAGGGAGTTATACAAATGAAATTATTCAATTTTATTCTTCTGAGATGTGCTTATTTTATTCAGTAAGATGTTTGTGAAATGCTATCCTGGTAGGTTCTAGTTCTTTCATTGTTTTACAGTAATAGAGTATTCCAATGGATACATTAATGGATTCTGTTCAAAAGCCAACAAAACTTTTGAGTTTCCTTCAGTAAGGCTTTTTTGTTCCACCATTGCTCTACAGAAGCTTTTTAAAAGCCTTATCTTCCTTGACTTTTTTTTTTAGCACAATCAATTACTTCCTCCTTCATGAAGCATGCTTTTCTCCTTTGGGCTTTTGGAACACTGTGCTTTCCTCCTTTTAACTCTTATGTCAGTGTTTGCTCCTTCCTGGCCAACACATGTTGTGGTCCACCAAGATTCACTTTCTAGATTTTTCTTTTCCCTTCCTTCCTCCCTCCCTCCCTCTCTTCCTTTCTTCCTTCCTTCCTTCCTTCCTTCTTTCCTTCCTTCCCTCCTTCCCCTCTCCCTCCCTCCTTCTCTCCCTCCCTCTTTCCTTCATTCCTGCCTTCTTCTTTCCTTCCCTCCTTCTTTTTATTTTCTAATTTGGCAGTACTTTGGCTTGAACTCAGGGCCTCATGCTTGCTAGAAAGACACTCTACCACTTGAGCCAGCCCCAGGCCTGTTTCTTTAAATATGACCTATAAACTGTGAACTCAAAATATTTTCATCAGTAGCCTCCCCTTATTCAAACTCATATCTGATTACTCATACTTGATGTCTTCACTTGAATATCTGGGAAGCATCTCAGACTTAATAAGTATAATAAATAACTCTTGATTTCTCCTTTAATATTCTTCCTCAGTATTTTCCCTGGTTTCCATCAGTTACCCAGCCACTCAGTCACTCATCCATTCTGGCCAACAGATAGATGTTACCTTCAACTACTTCTCATCGAACATTGAATTCATTAGAAAGTCCTATTGATTCTGTATTCAAAATACATTCCCAGTCTGAATACTTCTATTTTCTACCCCTGTGACCCTAAAACAAGCTACCACTATTTCTTATATGAACTATTGCAAAAACTTCTGTCTCTTTTTCCTGTTTCAATGCTCATCCTAGATATAGCATAACACACACGAATCATAACACACATAGAAATGTTGAATGAAATGGGTCACCCTCTGCTTGAATCCTCCTGTGTCTTCCTGCCATATTTCAAGTGATGAGCCCACATAGTTTGACCCCTTCCACCTGTCTCATGTTGGCTTCCAGTATTCTCCTACTCCTTCCTGTCACACTAGCCTCTGGTTCTTCTTCTAACATACTAAGATGATTCTCACTTCAGGGTCTTTATAATTTCTCTTCTCCCTGCCTGGAATATTTCTCCTGAGATCTGGAAGCTTTCTCCTGAGATCCTCATGTAGTCCATACCTTTACTTCACCAAGGTCTCTATTCAATCATCATGTTAGAGCTTCCACAACCAGCACCTTCCATCACCCTTCATTTCCTTACTTTGTATTATTTTCCTTCATAGAACTCCATGTAAAAAATATGATTAATTCCCCAGCCCTGTACTATCTCCATTCTCTGCTAAAATGGTAGGTTGTGAGTGCAGGTATTCTACTGTTCTAGTCTGCATCTGCGATGTGCCACTTAGGACATCATACTAACAGTTTAATAGTTGTTGGTTCGGTAGCAAATAAATGCCCATCCCTTAGGGGCATTTCTTCCCCTGCCACATTTGGGGGCATTTTCATTCTTCCTTGACTGAGTGTTCATGCTTCTCTTTCCAAGTCTTTCTAATAACCATTTCTTCTCCTTCCTTCTACCTCCCTTCTGCCTCCTCTCTACTCCCCCCTACAATTTCTGTGTGAAAATGAAAATGTAAATGCTCCCCCTTTTCCTCCATATTTATGCTTTGCAGCATGTGTAATGTAAAGATGTATTTTAATGTGTTCATAAGTGGAGAGATTTGGTAAAGCAATAGTGACATTTCTTTACTATTTCTCTTCCTTGGTTCATTTGTTCTAAGGCATCTTATTTTTCTTAACCTCACCACTGTATGATATGCTTTTATCTCTTTGAAAATGTGTAAAATTTTATGTTTTGATGGCACTGTTGTTATTGCCCATTGGTTTAGTTAATTTAACTGAAACAGAAAAATGTTTAAGAGGTAATAATTTGTTTAGGGTAGGTACCACAGTCCCACTTAAGTGTTATTATTTAATTTCTAGGAATTGAGGAGTGCTGAAACAGTTGGTCGTACTCTCATATCTCCAGCTATATCTGGGAAGGATTTTGTGAAAACTGAAGGAACATTGGTCTTTGAACCTGGTCAGAGAAATGCCATGTTGGATGTCACCCTATCACCAGAAACAGGATCTTTAAGTCCGTTTCCTAAACGCTTTCAGATTGTGCTTTTTGACCCAAAAGGTGGTGCCAGAATTGATAGTGTATATGGGACTGCCAACATCACTCTTGTTTCTGATGCAGACTCTCAGGCCATTTGGGGCCTTGCAGATCAGCTATACCAGCCCCTGGATGAAGACATTCTCAACAGAGTGCTTCATAATATCAGCATAAAAGTGGCCACAGAAAACACAGATGAACAACTCAGTGCTGTGATGTATTTAATAGAAAAGGTAAGAAATCCTTGCAAATTCTTATATTTTATAAACTAAAATACCAAACCAAAACAAGCACTACATTCTGTTATATCAGTTGCTATGAAACTATGATGAGGTTTAATTTCTGAACCCAAGAGTGGGTTCACTATACTTTTGCTTGAATGTAGGTGATAGCTGTTTCGCATCCTCCATCATAAACTTGGGAAATGGCAAGTTAGCTTGTGCAGCAGGAAAGACAGCCCAAAGTCTGAAAGGCAGCAGACTCTAGAAGTCATGGATTCCTTCAGTCTCTTCAGAAACTAGCCAGAGGTTCTCTTTGGTATTTGATCCTCAGATTTTGAGTCAATAACAAGGCCTACACTAGATTATCATCTAGTGTAGAGCAATTGCTCTCTATTTGTTCTCTCTCCTGGGCATTAAAAACTTTCAGAGGAAAGGAAAATTAAGGAATGGCCAATTTGGCATGGAGTTAGACCAATCGTGTTTTCTTTCAAACCTATTTATTTACTTACACTTCTGCAGAAGATGGAATTACAGAGAGAAACAAGAGTCTACAACTATAAATAAAAAAAGTATCTAGAAAGAATTATTACTAAAGAAAAAGACATGGGAATTTATTTTAGACTTTCTTATCAATATATTTACATACATATATAAAAAGTTCAGAGTACATATGAATTTATTAATACTGTATTTCTTACATATACTTATCTTTAAATTTTAAAATGTTTACAATGGGGTTTTAGACTCTCATGCTCATTTTACTTTCTAAAATATTTCTTAAAATATAATTCTCAAAGAGTAGAAAAGAAAATTATAAAGTATAAATATAAGGAGAGGAGGCTATGTCAAACAGCTTGTAAAAGCAAAGAGACATGACTCCTATTTCATGTAGAGAGTCATCTAGAGAGAAGAGCCTATGCCAGGAAATAATGTACTTAAGTTTCCTAAAGATAAAATGACATGGAGAAATGGCATGTTGATTTTGGCCAAGAAGAGAGGAAGCTTGCAGAGTAACCAAACATTTTAGAATAGAAAAGAGAACTTCATTTTAAATGTTTTTGAGAAGATAGAAATTCTGCTACTTTTTTTCTCAGTAAGTTATATAAGAGAGTCAGATACTATTGATCAAGAATCAAGTCAACACTTATTTTCTAAACTCAGACAGATAAATATCACGTTTTGACTAATATGTGGAATGTAGACTTAAATTTTACTATATACGATGATGTGAAAGAGAAACTAGGGACAGGACACAACCAGTGTGTGGGGGAAGAGGGAAAGGAGAGGGTTCATTATATGTATGCATGAAATAATGTAATAAAATCTACCAAAATTGTTTAAAAAGGAGGGGGGGAAGAAAGAAGGAGGTTAAGAAAGAGCAATATAAATGGGGTGAATATTACCAAAGTACTTTATGTGAATATTGTAAATACCAAAATGAAGCCTTTTTGTACAATTAACATGCTAAAAAAAGAAAAAAAAGAATCAACACTTATTTAAATAGAGTTGTCAAATAGTATTATAGCCAGTATGTTTGTTTTGACTATTTATATGCTTTACTAAAAGAAACTTTCTATTTCCTTTGAATATGAATAAAAGTTTGGGTAGCTCTAGAATTATGGGTCACAACCTTTAAGGTTTGCTCATGGTGAACACCTAATGGATGTTTTACTCAAGAACAGCAACAAATGGATGGGATAACATGCACAAAAACATGTGAGGCAACAATGTTTATTTCAGCATTACTTATTATTACAAAAATTTGGAAAAAATAATAGCTATTAGGAGAGGTTGGATAAATAAGTTCTGGTGTACCCTTGAAATTCAGTCATGAGCCACAGAATATTTTGGTTAACAATGGAATGTATATACAATGGTGGTCACAGATGATTACAATGTAGCTATTGCCTAGGATTTTTGCTGTATCTTATCTATAGTTAGACTTAATTAGATACACAAATATTTAGCAATGTGTTATAGTTGTTTACAATATTCAGTACAGCAGCATGCTGTACAGGTTTGTAGGTGACAGCAATAGGCCATAGTTAGATAGTTTATAGAGGCTATACCATGAGAAAGTTCAAACCTACGTGGCACAGATTGCTACAAGGTAACATGATGATGAAATAGCCTCGCAGTGCCTTTGTCAGCATCTGTCTCCATTGTCAAGTGATGTAAGATTGGATGTCCAAGTTT